CTTTCCTTTTCCTTTTGTGTATCTATTGTCCATACCTGATAATTGTTTCTTTTCATAAAAAACACCCTTAACATAACCTCTGTTTTTAGGAGTGCAATTACTCCCCTCTGTACGTTGTACATTGTTTATCAAATGACTCGACTCAAGTCATGTTAATGCATAATATTTTTCGGAAATTTGTTTACTTCGTTACAGAGATTTTCCCCTTTTTTATATTGTTTTCTTTCACTAGTAGGAAAACTGAGTTGCATTTTTTAAAAAGGAAACGAAGGAGGAAGATATTAGTCGAGCAAACCGAGTAGCTGAAGACAGAGATTGATTTTTAGCAATTTCCTAGCATTTGCCCAAGAGAGGGAGACATTTAAGGAAATGTTCGAATTGGGTTGATCATTTTGATGTCTTTCTCGGGTTCATCCTATCTATATCATACAGTGCACTGTTTTTTTTCCAGGTGAGTACAGCTATCATGGGTGGGGGGGGGGGGGACGAACAAACACACAAATAATCAAACACGAAAACCGAACCAACCAACCAACCGACCAACAAAGTTATGACAAAATAACATTTCGCAGTTGAATTCAATGCAAATAGGTGAAGAAGTACAAATCTATAGAATTATATTTTTGTGAATTTCAAACAGATTTTCACTATTGATCCTATTTTCACCCCATCTTTTTCTAGCATCTTAAAAGTTGTTTACGCCAAACTCATGTAGTTCGATCGTTCTGTCTAATTGAAGGTCAAAATCATTGACAGGTTTTGTTCTAATACCCATTGATCTTTTAGTTGTCTCTTTTTATTGACGCTTTCTCTTTCTGTCAAATGTCATTGGTTAAACCATTATGCAAATTCACGGTCATTTATCTAACCACTATACCGTTTAGTCTCAAAGCACAGTCGCTAATATGACACTTAGCCTTCGCAAATAGACCCTATGCATTGTGGTTTGAGTCACCCCCAATACGTAAGCTACCAATGTGGGAATAGGAAAGGGGCAACCCTCATGTTTAGCCCCTATCCAGCAATGTATTATAGCTAATATTAGTTTTGTTATTATTTATAAAGGCTATAGCATTGTCTATCTTGTCAGTTACAAAACTGCTTTCCATCTCAAGGTTTGTTTGTGCTTATCGGCTGTTGACTTCGGGTTGTCGGTGAATTCACCTGGACTGCACCTACCCCCCCCCCTAATAAAAATGGTTACGCCAATGCTCTAGGTGAATCTAACGAGCTTCAAAATGTATTTGTAGAAAATTGATATCTAGGAATCCAGGAGTGCGTTTATAACTCGAAAAGTTTGGACATATGTGTTTGCATTATGACTATTATATAAAAAGTTCCACATTTGGAACAAATCAACCGCTCCCCGCCCCCCAAAATATATCCCTGTAAAGACTGTGATGCATACTACGATACATTGATATAGTGGACCACTGTGATTGGAAAGACAACCCCCCCCCCCCCCATAGTTCAGAAAATCCTGGATCCGCCTCCACGTTTGCCTGCATGCATGCAAACAACATTTTACTCCATGTTTGTGAGGGTATAATTGATATAATAATGACTGAGACTAAGGATGCTGAGAGAGGAGCGCGTCTTGCTCCAAGTTTACAAGACAGATGCCCTCCATCCTTCTGGAGCTTGGGGAGATGTTGGGAGAGTAGAGCGGGTAGGATGAGGATAACACCGATATATGATATCAGGTAAGCAAAGAAAATGATATGGTATGTAAAAAAGAACCATGGTAACCATGGTTCTTTTGTCCAAATTACCATGGTTACCATGGTAATCATGAGATGGTAATTTGGACAAACAACCATGGTTACCATGGTTCTTTTTTATTTAGCCCGAATTGGCGATTTGGGTAACGCCCTGACTTTTACATTTTCTCCTCAGATTCCTTTGATATCAATCGATCAATAGCAATACAATCACAATTCCATATTTATTTCAAGAGCTGTAGTACTATTTTCTGAAACGTTGTGAAGGGTTTACATAATTAGATTAGAGTTATTTTTTATTTTGTTTGCTTTTCCTTGTTTCACCTGCCATCTGTAAAAAAAAAAAAAAAAAAAAAAAAAAGGAAAAAAAGAAGAAGGCCTGAAAGGGTTTGGGGAAACTTAGCAAATATTCAAATAAGATCAAAGCCTATTTCTTATTTCATGACTCAGTGGAATTTAAAATCATATAATTGTAATATAGGTGAACGTCTAGATGAATGATCCATTAAGGGGTAAATTCTGACATACGCAAGAGACGAAATTCATGAAGGATATTTGTTTTAAATAAAGTATCCTGATGCATGAAACACTGTAGCAAAAAATTGCCTAATATATCTCAAACTAATTTTAAATTTGACGTACCTTTGTTTAGCAACAACAAAAACCTAAGCGTGATAAAGGACATGATCAGAAGAGTATGCTAATGTATTTAAAAGGTACATACAGGGGCGAAGGAGCGTATTTCAAAGTGGGGGAGGGGTAGGGCACCAACAAAAAGGGCACTTTCTGGAGAAAAGAAAGGAACACCTACAAAGGGAAATCTCAAAGCGAAAATATAATTTGTTAGACATTGGTATATACCCCTACATTGTGATTCCATTATCAGGGATGATTTTAATATTTCTTTCTTTCTTCGCCTGATTAGACATACTGCTAGAGCATCATACTTTTCAGTTGGTTTTGATGGTCTGAATATTCATTTTAAGATTTGTGAGGTCGCAGTGCGAAAATTTACATCTTATAAAGCGGGAAAAAATCTTGATGTGATTATAATCACAATCTAATCATGAGAGACTGAAAAGAACTTTAATGAGAAACAAAATTATATCGACTTTAAGTGCGAGCTTTTGTGAAATTAAAGAAAAGGTTACTCTCAGTCGCTTTAATTAGGAGCACATTTTATGTTGTAAGGAAAAGGGGACCCATATCCAAAGGGAAAATTGCACTTATTAAAAAGAAAAGGAGCATGTGTCAAAGTAATAAGGGGATTTATCAGAGGCACTTCTCGCACCTGATAAGGGACACTCAAGAGAGATGAAAAATGGCACTTAGTACTGTACAAATTTAAAAGGGGCATCAGTTATCTGAAGGAAAATGGCACTTATTATAAAGGATAAGGGTAACGTGTCGAAATAACAGGGGCACTTATCAGAGATGAAAAGGGGCACTTATTACAAGGTCAAAGGGGGCACATCTCAATATTTGAATAAGGGCACTCACTGGAGATGAAAAGGGGCACTTATAAGAATAAAAAAGGGCATACAAGAGAAATGAGGCACTTGTCAAAATATAAGGGGCACCTCGTTGATTTGAAGAGGCAATTATAGGAGGAGAAGGGGCACTTATAGGGGGTACTTCTTGTACCTGAAAATGGGTACTCATCTGAGATGAATAGGGGCACTTGTGAAAATAAAAAGTGGCACTCATTACAAAGAAAAGTGGGCACTTGACGAAGGAAAAGGGGGCAGTTATCAAAGGTGAAAATGGGTATTCATCAGCGATGAATTGAAAGGGATACTTATCAGAAGGGGTAGGGGCATTCATAACAAAGAAAAGGACACTTGTTAAAGTAACATGAGCACCTCTCATATTTGAATTGGGACAATTATCATTGGTGAAGGGGGCACTGATCACAGGTGCTAAGTGGAACGGACACAATTAGAAATACAAAAGGGCACTTATCTGAAGTAAAAGGGGCAATTTTCCTATGCAAAAAGGGGCAATTAAGGGATACTTAAAAAAGCAGGGGGAGGGGACTGTGACCCCGGGTCCGCGGCCTCTTCGTAAAAATCATACATGACATGACTTAATATTATTTGTAAAAGTTGAATATATTAATTAGAACTTAAGTTTTCATCGTGCTCATATAAGATAAATGACCCGAAGAAGAAAAAAAGGAGAAAAGGGGAAATTTTAAAACAAAATTAGTGAAAGTTTGAAGAACAAAATAATGACCAGCACAAGTTATTAAAGGTAAAGACCAGTATTGGAAACGCCCCAATTTTAAAAAATGAAATGGAAGCTCTCATTACCCATCATGTGAAAGAATATGTTTTGACTAATACATGATGATAAAAAATTTGCTGGGAAACCGCCTACTAATTCATATATTTGGTAAATTTGTTTCTCTCATGGTCTGTGAGAGATATAGGGTAGTCCCATATACATCTTTCTGTGTATAGTGCTTGTAACTTTACGAAGAATGGGCCAAATTTCTTATCATTTTGACGATTCCAGAACCTTGCAGATGCTAGATGCTAGATGATCAACCTTTTCTGATCGATTCCACAGCGTTTCTTTCACCATGCAATCGCATGACCATAACTGGTCTTTACCTTTAATTTCTTATCGTTTTCTAATTTTTCCCGGAAATTTTCACTCACTCGTCACTCCGATTATCCTAATTTAATCGAAATAGGTTTTGTTGACCAGTGCATATTAGCCGGACATCTAAATAATCTACCGATGAACATGATGGCATTGGATGGAATTGACCAATTCCTTTAGGAGTGTACATTAATGCAATAATTGATTGCTTTTAGCAAGAAACACGACCTTGATCGACCGTGCGGTCAGAATAATGACCATCTCTCACCCAATATGGTCAACGCTGACCAAAGCTCACAGAAGATAGGGAATCTTCCGATCAATACTCATCAATGGTCTTCTGTTTACTCAAGCGACCAAACTTTCATTGTATTGACAAGTGCCACAGGTGAATTCTTGTAGACTTCTTCGAATCCGCAATTGCATATTTATTCAGTCTGTTTCGTTTTGTTAAATCATTCCTTCTGGTCATAAAATCAGTCTCGTAACCATGACAACATGAAAGCTTCATTGCCTCTATCGTATTGCGATTTTACTCTTAAAAATGTATCTATATTCCTTCTTGACTGTCAGTTTGGTTTAATTTTCCTTTCATATCGTGATAGAGTAATTTGTAAACGATTTGGAAGAAGACTATATACGTGGGAGAGTGAGAAGTGTTGTCATGATACAAACACAACGTGCAAGGAACTGGTCTATAGACAACAGAGAACCAGTCATGTGGGCGGAGCAAATACAATCAAAAGAAAGTTTACATCTCATTTCTCCCGCAAGCAAATGTTATTTACGTCTTTTTGTAAGGATGACTTAATTAAGGAACTTGCCTCCAAGGCAGGTATTTGATTTGTTCCTTATTATACCAACCGGAGTTCCGACCTTATGACTATCCAAAGAGGCTTTTGATGCAACTGCCGTGAAGACAATACCGCCACCTAGCGCAGTTGGTCCTATTGAGTATAATAGACTCTCAAAGTGTTTACTTCGTCAACCGAGGAAAGTTGGACTGTGTATGCCTAAAGGCTTTGCCGTCTCATTCATTCCGAGCCAAGATTTTAATGGAATAAATCCTTACAAATGTGACAAATAGGATTTCTCTGCTTGTTTGAGAGAGAGAGAGGGTTGTTTGGGGATATATATATATACAAAGGAGAAACGATAATGGATCTGTTGAGTTTGAGAGACCGTAGAACTCGTCTGCTGCGGAGCCGGGAGTATATGCTCGCTTCGAACAGACTGAACAAGCCGCCACCCTGGCATAGTGCCGGCAGGCGATGGGCTGTGTCGGCCTCGACGATAGCCATGGCGGAGAGAGAAAGGGAACTTGTCCCGAACCTCAGGGCGAGTTGCCCGCCAACCTTTTGGAGTTTGCAGAGGAGCGAGCCAGCCAAACCGGGGATGAGGAGGGCCAAAACGGCCAATGCCTCTAGTTATGCAGAAAGAATAAGGTAGTAAATCCGCCATTGCCTCGATTTGAGTAACTAAGCCGAAAATAGGCCCTCGAAATATATTGATAATATGTTTGGGGATTATTTGAAGTAGGATGTAATATAATTTTGATAGCATAGCCAACTTTTTTCATTAGCTTAACTTTGTAAGCAAACGGAAAATTTAAAATCTTATTCCGATTTAGCACACATTTGCCAAATTAACTCATTTGTTTGACGTATCATTCCGTTTGAAATCTCAAACCTCAAACAGCCCGGCCTTTTTAGGGTTAAACATGAAAAAAAAAGTTGAATCATTTACATCTGAAATACTAGACAAATAGCAAATTTAGTCAGTTTATTTTTACTAGCAGTAAATATACTTTTGAATTGATCTTATTTTCCAATAATGTACCCTCATTCCAGTATATCCATTCCGATGATATTGATTGTTCTTCTTAATTATCATACCAATGTATTTTAAGTATTTACCAGCAACACTAAAGGCAACACTCATAACATTATTAGTATCTTTTCATAACTGTGCATGGCTTTTAATTTTTGGCCTGTACAATCTTAAAACCGTAATGTATACAGAACATAAAGGTTTACCCAATGCCCCTGTGTTTGTAGTTTGCACTTGTTCATTATGTACACTTGTCATTGACAATGGCACTTTGAACTTTTTTCTTGACAAGTTTAGATCCGAAACCCAACATGTCAGGTTCAAAAGATCAGGTGATATTAGTATCCACTGCATTTACAATACACCGAGCAAGACGTCTCGCGTCTGTCAATCATAATTCGTGTGCGATACCAAGACAATTCATATTTTTGAGAGGCGTTTGTATATGACGTCAAGTAAGCGCTCATATAGTCACAAACTTAGATATTTATAAAAATCAATGCATTTTCAGGATGTTTTAAACTGGGAGTTCACCAATATATACAATATACATTTATATGGCTAGTTAATAAACTATTACAAACTGTAGGACAAGACTTAATATATTTTTGAGAGGCGTTCTTATATATATATATATATATATATATATATATATATATATATATATATATATATATATATATATATATATATTATATGACGTCTAAAAGTAGTGCTATACCAAAAACAGATATTGATATTATCCATCAATGCATTTTCACGTTCTAAACTGCGAGTGCGCCAACATAATAACACATGCGACATATTATTAGTGAATACAATATGAATTACGTTAGGACAATGCTGAATTACAGTAGTAAGCTCATATTTTCAGCCTACATGTATATATATCCCTTCCGAAGCATTTTGTGGGAACACAGAGTCAAAACATATACTACACTGCGACAATAATTATGGTGAAAGTGGGCGTCTCTGCAAATCGTGTTTTGTATTAACAAGCCTATACTTGTAATTGCTTTTCAAAAAGACGCAAAATATCAGATTGATGTACATGTATATGAAACGGGCTAGTAATCAACTTGAAAAGAAAATATCGCACACGATGCTGTCATTGTCATCATTCTTATCGGTTGACTTGATATATCTCTTTTATTTCATTTATAATTTTGTACCTTAAACGTGTTAAATGGTGCGAACAATTTGCGTTATTACTTCGGTAAAAAACAATTCACTCATAATCATTATTGACATTTGGCAATTTAAAAAGGATTTTAACTAGTTGATTGATTATAGTTTGCATATATGAATATTACATTTTCTAAAAGGGTATTAATAATATATTTTGGCAAATGCGCTTTGCGAGTACATGTATACACACGAACAGCAATTCCTCTCCTCCCTCAGATTTTTAGATTTTTATAATGAATTGATTTTAACGAACGAATGTTATGAAATATGTATCTCTCTTGCATGTTTCGTTTTTTTTTAATTTTCCACCGGTGATAGGGTTCTTTGAATCTACTAGTAGGTGTACGGATGTGATGTGAATTGTGAGTTATGGTAGGGTTTTAATTTACTTCTCTTCGAAAGATCTCAGCTCACAATCATGCTGAACAACTTTCACGCACCTGGAAAAAATGTTTGATAGACCGTTTATTTGTAAAGGAGATTCTGCTTTCATAACGTTAACATTTATTTGAAAATCATATTCATGCTATTCGAAACACTGAATTCAGATTAAAACTTGAGATTTGTAATTGCCTCTGTCAAAACGCATAGAATTTCAAAGAGAAAATCATAACGTAGTCATTGAATAATTAAATGTTGTACATGCCAATTACGTAAAGACTTCAAACGTCTTCTCGTGTTCTCTACAATTATGCTCAATCACTAATTAGTCTGTTTCATAATTGTCTGCCTTTTCTATACCATATATAATATATGATTCATTTTTAAAAAGCCAAACATAAACAAATGAACAAAACTAATAGCTACGACTTGAGTCTGTTTAACTTTATATGGAGATAGCTAGCGTATGCTCGCTAATGCAAATGCTAACATGCTGAGTTATATCCGTAACCGTCGAGGCTTGATGCTGCTGTAAGATACATTGTATCTTTTAGCTGGTCTTCTATTGTCCCCTTTTCTCATCTCCTATTCATACTGACGAGTTTCGCCCCAGTAAATGACACAGCAAGTGGGAGATCAAACAATGGAGTATTCTCAGAGAGGGGAGGACGAAAAGCAAAAATCGATACCGATCGAGGAGACGATACAAACATTGGGACGTTAACCGGAAAAAGAATAGTCTTTAATTGGAAGAGTGGGGGAGTGTATTGTCATTGCAAGCCATTATTAATGGAACATAATTTTTACTATCTTACTGGGGACATTACGTACACTACATGCAACTGGAGTGGCTTGTAGGGGCTTATATAGTTTTGAAGATCACGAAATACTCTTGTTTTTAATGAAATTCCTCGATGAAAATCTGTCTAAAAGTGATCTCGAAAAAGAGTTATACTTTTAACACCGAATGTCACTTTATGATTAAAAAATATCCTGACATTACTTATCAAAATAATGTTCGGATAAAGTGCCCTTTTTACTCTCTTAAAATGCAAAGCAGAGCCCTGTTATAATTATGTAAGTACTGGGAGATAACTTTTAAAAAAATATTATTGACGTTTAACCGTATTCACTGGGTATATTTTTTGTATCGTACATCATCATTCAAATATCGAGAACGAGTTTGAAAGTTAACCTGGTATTCGAGACCCATTTTGTTCTCGTCTCGTCAAGAACACAAGTAAAATTGGTACTTATAGTCGTTTCCAAGCCTACTGAGTACCCCTGAGAAAATGAGGTAGCATATACGCCTGTCCTAAATACATGTTTTGTACCTCATTTCTTGGCCAGGCTTATGATTGCTGTAAATGTGTCTCTCTTAAAACACAAAATATATTTCTTCGACTCTATACCCTTTATTAAAAAGCATGTATTTCGTGGATTAAACCACTTGTATGTAGTTCATACTTTCCTTGCCAAGTGAGAACATTCAGGGGAAACAAATTAATGTTTAATATGTTTTGTACTTTTTATCTCCCATTTCTTTATAGATTTAAGCCAGAAGCCTACCGAGCTGAACCGTGTAAGGAATGTGATTCAATGAGAGAATGCCTCAACAACGAGTTCCTCAAAAACTTCGACGCCAACCAACTCAATCACGTCGAAACGTCAACTCGAAATACCCTGCCAACTCATAAAAGTAAGCATTGGTTCAGCTGTCGACATGGTGCAGTGTAGGTTCGGTGGAGGGGGGGGGGGAAGGATACTGTTACAAGCACCAAATTATTACGTTCGAACTTGTGATTACAGTTTAGTTTGAGATGAAAATGCAAAAACAAACACACTATTTTGTACAAAAATACGCGGCGATAAATTGGCGTAATCTTAGAAAGGGTCCATGATGGGGGGGGGGGGGGGGGCGGGGGGGGGGGGGGGGAATCAGCCTCCAGTTTATTCGAGTAAATGGAATGCAGTAGGCCCATTCCGGGATGAGATGGGGAGGGGTGAACTGTACCATTACCGCTATTAGCACTGTCAGTTCTTAAATCTAGGAGGGAGTAATTTCCTCCGAAGTATTATCAATTTGTTTTTTGTTTTTGTTTCCTAACGTTTTTCTTCTTCCACTTTTTAATCTTATTCTTTTAGCAATATCTGAAGAGAGACGAGCCATTCTTGGTGAACGGGGATCGCACTCAGCCCGGTACGACGTAAAGCGACATCGCAGCGTTCATTTCTCGAGCGCTCCGACCACCAGTCAGGGTCCTAGACCATCTCAAGACGACGTCGACGTCGCAACCACCGACGCCGTACAGAAAGTAGATGGCGAAGAGACGTGACACATCGTATCTACGACGACGGCGATTACAACGTAGGATTTTAAAGACATTGAAAGACTTGTGAACATAGATCATGTTGAACAGTGGCCCGGAACAGTGGAGACCATTGACTATTTTGTTAACGAGATGTCTCGCGAGCCTTCTCAAAGTTATCTCAGGGTTTACGATCCCACGCCCGACCCGAAGGCCACCATGACGCTGGCACGTTGAACTCGTTTGCGATCGCGAGACCGACGTGGTAGATCTCATGGACAGTTGTTTTGCTAGGGTGTTCTTATTTTGTAGTCCAATAGCGTCTCGCCATTATGATTTCTCCCACAAGAGTATAGTGAAGCTTTAGTATAATTTAAAATTTGATTTACGGTGTCTTTTCCTGTCTTTCATGGCTGAAATGCTATTGCCTGATGAGTCTGATATTTAATAAGCATAGTGTCGACCCCTTTTTGGTAGAGTCCATGGTCGATTAGCTATGAGACGTATGCCGTTTTGCAATTTTGATTTATGTTTTCTAAGTTAATATTTTCCCCCTCTGATTGAAATGTTTCAGTTTTGGAATACACATTTTTATAATTTAATTTGGTCATTAATCAACTAACTTCTCAACATAGATTATATTTTGCTGTTGGTTTTTATGCTGTGAAGGATTCGGATTTTATTTAACAGGGAGGGTAAGAGTGCCATCTTTAATTTCAAATTTCTTTGATAACACGATAGGGGAGCTAATTTTACAAACATGGAGCACACCTATACGAAATCACATCGATATCTTCGGAGCTCAAATTTCAGTAAAGCTATCACCAAGGGTATGCTAAGGCAAATATGAATCTTGTGCAAATCACTGAGCTATACATGTATATGGTAATGAGGTTGTTCTCTGGACTCTCCCAAGAACAATCGAGGCCAATCTCGGATCAGTTTGTTGAATTTGGCTTCCATGCGTTACCAAGAAAAGTGATACAGTGATGACATCTAAAGTGTTATCATTTAATTGACCTCCGGGCTGTTTACTTTTGATATATTTTTGCACCGACGGCAGGGGTAGGGGGCGGGGCGATCGGGGGTGATCATCTGAAACAAATTAAAAAAAGTATACATCTCTTTGTAAGCAGGGGACAAGGGCTATGAATTTGAAATACTCTGAAATGCATAGTAATTTAAGTACCCCCTCCCCCAAGTCATGAAACTGCCACCCCTCATCAGAGGTCTGAAATTATTCAAGGGTTATCTTTACAATTTGATGTTCATTTTACTATAGTATGCTGGTGTGTGAAGTTCTTTTTTTGCAATAACTTTGTCAGGAATCATTATTTAGATTCGTAGACCATTATAGATGTAACGGAATACATTTAGAAAGAAAATTAAACTGATAGTTTTAGATTGAAGAAAAACTTCGGTCCATTACACTTGCAGATACAAACTGCTATGTTTGTTATTCGAACAGTTCCCACTTTATCGCTAGTGCATTTCCACTATTTTTAAGGACACTTTTCGGCGATTTAGATTTCAGCAATATTGAAAACACGCTCGTATCTACAAACTACATTAAAAAAGATAAATGTCTCATACATGTATTTATACGGTAAAAGTGTGGAGTGGGAGTAGGGATGACAGGTTGATGTGCGGGGTGGTTCTGTATTTCATATCTACTGAAAGGTTTTGGACTCTGACATGTAATATCATTTTGAAATCTTGTGATATTTTATTGCCGTATTTTTCTCCGTCCATTCATCTCCACAATCATTCTTCTCAATTTAGAATTTATTTTGTGTATGTATTCTTATAACATATTTTGAAATTTTTAACATGAATGAAGTTTGTAACAGAGTTATCATGGTTTACTATTAAATATATAATTTATTTCGAAATGTTCTTTTTTAAGAGTTTTTGCTTTTTCTTGTTTCAAAATAAAAACTTTTAATTTCTTATCATTCTTTATTTAGACAAGGGGACAAAATAGATATAGACATATTAATAAACAGAACGAGAATAAAACACTGTGTAAAGTGAAAGGGGAAGGGAAATAGAGAGAGAGAGAAAGCCTGAGAGGAGGAGGAAAAGTGAGAGAGCGAGAGAGAGAGAGAGAGAGAGAGAGAGAGAGAAAGAGATGGGGGAGGGGGTGAAAGAAGGGGGGGGGGTAGGTAGGGGAGGAGGAAAACCAGCATGCCTAGGCAATGGGATATGAGGACAAGAAAGAGAGAGATTAAGGGAGAAGAAGAAGATCAAGGAGGAGGAGGAGAAAGAGGAAAATAATTTAGGAGGAGAGAATTAAGGGACAGGAAGAAAAACACAAACGACGGAATGAGCAAAACTATGGCAAAACTAAAGTAACTCTCGGGAACCGTGCTTTTGCTATTGCTGCCCCCAAACTATGGAATAGCTCGCAAATAGAAATACGAAGCACTCCATCTCTCAATGTCTTCAAATCCAAATTAAAAAAATATTTGTTCAATCGACAGATCCTATTTGTAGACTTTAGTAAAAAAAAAAAAAGGAGCTCTGCACCAGCGCAGCTGAATATATTTTGTATAAAAGCTACGCTATATAAATTTATTATTATTATTATTATTATTAATGAGGATAAAAATAGATATAATTATGTCAAATATACACCTCAAGTTCTTTCCATGACATGAATTATAAAAAACGAAATTCCGATACAAAATTAGTACAATTATGAGTACATGTATTATGCTCTTACATCTCTTTATGCAAAGCCCAAATAAGCTTTTTATATTTTTTCTTCTCTTTCCTCATTGTTTTTTCTTCCTTCTGCTTGTCACAAATTTTGGCGTAAATGATTTTACCGAAATCTGATAGCCCTTTTCTTTTTTATTTATTTACCATAGTATTCAATTATTTGACATGACCTTCACAAATTCTTTGAATAAACTGAGCATTCACTCGCTCCACCCCCCTCACTTCCAAAAAGAAAGAAAAAAGAATCCCTCTGTAGATCTATAGGCAAATAAGAAAACCACGCAAAGGTGTCTTATAATCATTTCTTGTAGTAGGCGTACTCATTTGTGAAGGCTACATGTATATACAAAGTCGTGACCACTGATCTGTTTTGTAAAGCCTGTTTTCTCAATCAACTTAAAACTTAAACCCCCTTTTCTCGACCTCGCCTCCACCATACCACTCCCCGACCCTCAGCCCTCGACCTCGTTCTCTCTTCTTTTTTTTTCTTCAAATGATGCTTTATTGAAAATATCTAAGGGTCACAAAACTACAAATACAACCAAATGCAAACAATTAATATAAATGTCATATGAACAAATACTAAATAATGTTAAAACATGAATTTGACAAAACTACACATTCTACTTTTTATTCTTCATATTTTTCAACTTTTCTTTTTTAAACAAATTAATATGAACTCATACATGTGCATCTCAAAGAAAAAAAACAAACATAAAAACAAAAGTGATTAAAATAATGATGGAAAATACAACAATACATGTCAATTTTCATGTATGCTTGCAATTATTCCTTTCCTATACTGGAGGTCTAGTATGTTTTTACCCCCCCCCCCTTTTTTCGGCCTTCCGATCGCATTTTGTTATGATCGATCACCAGAATTTCCGGGTCACTGTTTCATGTCTCTGCATTTGATATGAAATTTAAGCCAGATTTATATCATATTGACTTATTTTTGACAAAATGATGCTCCGAAGTGTTCAAGCTCGGTCACCATTTGTTTTGTTTTGCAGTAAAGTGAACACAGACAGCAGCATACATCATATAACTTCAGGTAAATGAATCCTTTCATTAATACGTTGCCCCACATCCTTAAATTTGTGTGTGTGATTATCTCTGACTGTGAGGCGCGAGGCCATGTTTATGACATTTTAATATTTTATTGCGTGGATATAACTCGTTCTTAAGCGCTACATTGATCAAAATTCGGATTGCAAATTATAATAAGAATGGAAAAACGTTGTTTAATTATTGTATTCTAGATGAAGGCTAACATGAAGGTGGTAGATTCTTGATTTTAAGCCCACAAAGGCTGAATTTCAGACTTTCAATTTTCCAACTTTATTTAATCTTTTTATTAGGGTAGAGTGCCCAGTATTCGGTCACTTAAGGGGAAATCACTAATATTTTGAATTCTTACCTCTTTTATTTTTCAATCTACCCATCAAAATAAAAGAAAATTATTCCTCTAACAGGATTTTAGAAAAATATTTCCGAAAGAAGACGGAGCATTTTTCTGCCCAGAATTCGGTCGCGCCGATTAGAATTCGGTCACGCGATTTGTGCGTGGTATCTCCATTGCCAAGGAGCGAAGCGTATTTGCGCACTATTTTCACACAATTGACCGAATACTGGATGAGCGATACCGCATGGCAAGGGTATCGTATACATACCTCTTGCACATCGGCAAGTGCGTCATTTGCAAATTCGCTGCGATGGAGTGAACACGGAAGTGATTCGCTTCACACACATACTAAATTCATTGCGACAGCACATGGAGTTGTTTCGCAATAGACTTCTACATATGGCTATGCATGTTAGCGCATGTGCTAACAGGACGCGGAAGTGCAGAAACTTGTGCGACACTGACCAATTTCGAGCTAAGTTGGAGACAAAAAAATGGGTACAAAAATGAGGAGAAAAGTCTTATTCAGTTATTTTATTCAGAAGCATTGAAATTCTATCTTTTATTTTAAAAATCTTGAAATGCATGCAAATATCGGGATTAAAATGAAATCAAGCATTAGGGGAATTTTTTTTGTCAATTTCAAGTGTAATTTTAGATGGGCAGACATTCGGCCCTCCATCACAATTGTAAGATCATTTTAAAATCATGTTTAAAACGAAGAATGAAACAGCCTTGTTCTCTGGCCTGTGTCTTTGATTTTGTTTAGGTTGTTTGACTTTGAATCATGTGAAATTGTACATTTAATGATGCACATGACTTCATGTATCATATGACACACCCTTTCCATATATCTGCACAATGAATCCTAGTGTAGGATTGAAGGAGCAAGATATACTAGAAAGAGGTGGAGAAGAAGATTTAGATTATGATAAAACATGGATTTTTTTCTTTCCCATCACAGTATGTAGACATCATCTCAGCAAAAATACATTTTCAAAGTTGCATCCGACAAGAAGGGATATAAGCTCTCTCACGAGGAGACCCAGCCAACTCTTCCAACGTGTTCAGTCCAGCAAAATATCCAATGTCAGAACTTTGAGCTCAAAAAAGGATGGGGACAAAGAAGAGGTCTCTGCTGCCACCAGCGGCAACGAAAAGCCATTTGTGGTGACGACCAAGAAGAGCAAGAAGGATATTGCGGAACCGGTGGTGAAGGCCTCTGTGTCTGCTTCGGGAGAACCAGATCCGCCGTCTGAATCGAAAGAGGGCAAGTCTCCTGCAGGTAAAGTGAATTCATGCTCAAGTCCATTGGATCTTAATTTCTTTCCCCTTATATTATAGCATTTATTACACATTGTTGGTTAGTACAGTGACCCTTAGAAAATAAAATTGCTTATTATCTAGTAATGTATATTAAAGGGATCGGTAACTTTGTCTCAGATTCTGAAACAAAATCCTGGATTTAGCTCATGCTGCAATGATAATTATAAACCTTTAGATATGAACCTTATGAAACTTATGTAAGTCAGGAACCCCATGAATTTCATAGCCGATCACCTGAGTCTGACTAATTATCAAGATATTTATGATTGGAAATCGAAATTGAAAATGGTTCTTTTAACACTACAGTCTATTGGGGGGAAATGAGTACCTGTATGGCATATCCAGTCACTCAAAGATTTTTTACTTGTTTGAGGCGCTTCATGATTATTTTGAGGAGCAATCTTTTTAGGGTTTCAATATTACACCATGTCACAAACACTGAGAACACGTAGGACCATGCCTCTCAGATTTAACATTGTTAAACAACGCTTTAATGTCTTTTTCCTTCATAACCTTTATTAGACATTCTTGGTGTATTACAGTGACCCTTAAAGCAAAAACTTAGGAAATGACATGGCTCATTATCTGGTAATGTATAGTAAAGGGAGTGGCCAAGATTGTTTAATGCTCTTTTGAAATTATGCAGTATAAAGAAAATAAATGGTTTAATTTATGACCCCCTTCATAACCCTTTGAAGCATTGCAAATACTCACCTAAATTGTGTTTGAGCAGATCACTTTGATGACATTTATTAATAGATTGTCTATGAAGTAGTTTAAATTTGTGTCCCAAATCTTTCATTTCACAATCTTGTTCAGTATCATCTGGTTAGACTTAAAGACTATTGTTCATTTTTACATACAATCTTTAAAAGCTCCGTAATTTACCTTCACTAAAAACTGCTAGTGTCAAGTGGAGAGTAACATTTTATTTTGGTTGTTCCCCTATCGTTATTCATCATTATTTTTGTTCTAAACAGCTGAACGTCTTGCAAACCTGACCAAGGCTATTGCATCCTACAAGGAGAGAAGAAGGAAAGTTGATTACACCAAGAAGTACACAGATAACAACACAATCACGGCAGTCAGAGCTATGAGTGACTACTTACTGAAATCAAGGTCAGAACACCCTGCCATGTTCCCTAACCCTAACACTAAACACCTATCTTTTTTTTCAGGAGGGTTGAGGGGGGTGGATGAATTACGGAAACAAAATAATCAGACGGTGGTGTACTTTTACTCAAATACTAAGAACAGGTGGGGATGGGGTGTTATACCAAACTCAGATCTCTAATTCAGGAACATTCTTGGACTGTCTGGGGTCCATTGGCGGCTATTTCAGCAGTTTGATAGGAATGCAAATCATTGAAAGCCTAGGAAAAGAGGTGTCAAACTTTAAGCCAATTCATTGGCCTACTTGGGACTCTCTTTTGTGAATGATAGCATGACCAGCTCGGGGACCAGCTGTCAACAATTATATACATACACCTGGGGAGTGTATTACAAAGACTAAGATCGACTTAAGTTGGACTTGAAATATAGCAGGTCGTTCATGCCACTAGTTGCTCTAACCATTCCTGGCATTGGTTTTTCAAGGGATGTACAAATCATGGTCACAAATCTACAGAAATTAATTTTATTGATAGTTCATTATTGAAGGAAAAAATATTATTTAAAGATCATGATTGAGAGAACGATGGTGAGAGCAACCAGTGGCATGAATGGTTTGCCATTGTTCAAGTCCAACTTAAGTCGATCTCAGTCTTTGTGAAACACCCCCCCCCCCCCCAGAAGTGGCCATTGCTGGTAAAAAAAAAAAAAAAATAAGGCTCCATATACATGTATTTGAATGTTGGTGTAGAATTAGTCCGGGCTAATGCCTCTTGCATTAAAGTTGTGATTGAAATCAACTGTCAAATAAATTCCAACATCACAAACAGAACTTGTCTTCTGTCCAACCATCACCATGAAATTACAACTCATGTCTGACTCAGGCATCTGTGTGTCATTGCAATCTTAAGCGAGAGAGCCCTTGGCCAATGATGGAAGGTGTGTGCTCCATGTTACGATGGAACATTTTTATAGATATATTGACTGCTATGAGAGGCATGGCTGTTTCTATAGGCTCAAGGGAACGTTACATCCTGCTATGATCGCAATGGGGATTTCAGTAAAATTTAACTACATTGCGGCCCATTAACCGGGGCAACAGGCATCTTCCTCATTAACTATTGACCGTTAGGCGGGCATGGCTAAAAATCACGACTCCAATTTCTCCAATCAGATGACTAGATTTGTTCAACATACTAAAGAGAGGTATATAATTTTTTTGTTTTTAATTGACTTTCTGTAGTTGATTTATTATAATGATGTATTCAAATTAACGGCTGTTCTTCTCTGGTTATTATTTGCAGTGATCTGGAGCAGCTTAGGAAGACGGTCAGGAGAAGTCCGTACGATCAGGAATCAAGTGAAAGGAACATGATGGTCTATCTAAGATCTGATGTAGAACAGAAGTAAGTTATAACAACGGGGACTTTTAGATTTACACGACGAGAACGTGGACTGCCACGTCTGACATCCTTTTAAGGCAATGTGACGTCCTTTTAAGGCACTGGCAGTGCCCGGCAGTGCCTTAAAAGGATGTCCATTGCCTTAAAAGGATGTCACATATCAAATTTTGCCAATTGCCTTTAAAGTCATTCGGTAACATTGCTCATACAGAGCTGCCAACCATTCCGTTTTTACTGGAATTACTCCGTTTTTTCCTCTCAATTACGGTATTACGTTTTTTCTTCATAAAATATGTTTTTTAATAATTTTTGTAATTTTTTTTTTTTTTTTTTTTTTTTTTTTACATACCGCAGGTCAAACAACTGCCCTAAAATGGTGATTTGATCACAAATTCAATAGAAAACTATTTTAAAACATACTTGAAGAGAAAAATACCACAAAAAAATTACCTGCTTGTATGGAAAAAACAGCATGATGAATGAACATTTCTGCATTGGAAGTGTGTCGCGCGTGGTTGTAAGTTTCGTTTTTATGAATTCCTTTTTTTGGCTTGAAATTCCTTTTTTTTTGCCATCATGATTCCTTTTTTTGGTCGCACAAGGTTGGCAGCTCTGCTCATAATCTACTCTGTGTAATAGTATTTCCTGATTTCATGAATGTTATAGTCTTTAATATGATTTACTATATATATGTAGTAAGGTTCTGAGTTTTACACTCTATAATAATCTCTACTTAAAATATCATATTTGTGATGGAAAGTAAGAATAACAAGCTTGTTACTAACTCTTGGTTTCAGCTTTCTGGGGTGCACATAGAAAAGTTATTGCCCACTGCCTCCCCTGTGGGTACAACATGCAGCTTTGAGCATGTATGTCAAATAACAACTCCAATTTATTTTGATTTGATTTGATTGATTTGATTGATATGATTTGATTGATTGATTTATTTAGTTGTTTTGTTGCTCAAATAGGCTTACATCCTCCTTTTCATACATATAAGCCGTAACTTTGTGTTGAGCGACCTGGACAACCTAATATTCAAATTTACTCATGCTAGATATCCACTGTCCATTTTGTTTGTCCCGTGACCTTGAGCACCTACTAGAAGAAAATGTCATAATATTCTAAGATCAATTAAAAATTCAGGAAAATGGCAAAAGTTATCTGAGCTTTTGTTACAATTGTCATCCGCCAATGCATAATACAACCTTTCTTCTTTTCTTGATGTTACTAACAGGGCTATTGAGATTTGGGGAAGCATGGATGCACTTGAAATGGAGAAGAAGAAGAGGAGAGAAAGAGATGCTGTATATAAAGAGCGTGAGTATATTGAATTACAAGGATGTTACTTGCAATATTATGATCACAAAAAGGATGATTAACATTTCATAGTATGTCGATTTTCCTTCAGATTGCTTTACAATCAAAGAAATACATTTTTGGAGAGATGACGGTCAGAAATATTGCTTGCCGATAAAAGAAAATATCTGCATTTGTTTTTTAAACTGTCACATGTTTAATGTTGATTAAAAATCAAAATCTCTTGATGACAGAACTTTACAGTTTACTTCACCTTTGATGAAACATTGAATATATTATACATGTATAATTAATGTTAATGATCTTCTTTTTGTTCTCCAGATTTGTTTCTGCTCAAGAGGGCAATGAGGGAATATGACTCTTTCTTTGGTCCTAAAGAGGTAAGTGTGATGAGAAATCAAATGTTTGTGTGAATGAGGTTTTTCTTTCTCTATTTTATTAGTAATTTTATTGTTCCTGTGCTATTTACTGAAAGGTAACCCTAAAATATTTTTACTGATGTTTACATACAAAAATACACATGAAATCAAAAAAGCTGCCAATCATATCTATTTTGGAGGAATGATTCTTATATTTTGGCATTAAAGCTATTGTTTTGACCCAAATTCCTCTCTTTTTCTGAAATATTCTGTGCGAAAAGTATACAAAATAGACTGTATTTCTAATTTTGCCTTGAGTGATTCCTAATTTTTGCTGTGAAACGTTGGCCGGTATGCATGACTAGTAGTTTGTTGATGTTGCACATATATTTTACTTGTACTCAGTATCATGACATATCTTCCTAGTTGCAAAATATTGATGTTTGCAATGTAACATACTCAAATAGGACGTTGGGTTACATAAAGACGTATTCCATCCTTCAATTCATATTATCTTTCTCTCTTTGATAGCCAACACCATCAATCTTTGAGGGTGCTGGTCAGGTTGTGCTGTCTGCAATAGCCATGTAAGTAGAACTCTGATAGCACAGTGTAAGTTGTGTAGCTGATAATGATGGGAATGACTTCTCACTCAATGTCCATAACTGCAAATAAATTATACCTCCCACAAAAAGATTTTGGTATAAACATATCATTGTTGAGTAATGATGAGAAAATGAATCTATGACTGTCATTATCATGTGTTGTACACTTGGTCTTGAGTAGTGCTTTTAAAGTGAATGCCATCTCCAGCTTTTTGTTGTTGTTGTTGTTAATTTTGACAAAAAAACAACACATTTACCATATGATGAAACAATGCAGATTGCTTTAAAGGCTGTCTCTACTAGTTTGACTAGGAGGTATTAGACCACCCAGGGTGGCCACTGACAGGTGGCTATCTCATCAACTCAGCTCTCAATTAACATAAGAAAAAGAGGATCATGAGGGACCAATGGTCACCGATTAGGCATTGTTTGCTATATAGAGGGAGTAAGTAGCTACAAGTAGTACCTTGGTACTTTAAGTCTAATTTTCTAAGCAATTCTATTGCCTAAACCCAAGATGAGCATTACCTTACACATATACATGTATGATAATTATGGGCATGAGTGGTAGGAGTAGGTTAATTGAGTTGATTAAAATGCCACAGGTAAAACTTGGAATATATGCTTTTAACTGTTTTTCTTGTATTGTGAAGTGCAGGAACATTGGTTGGTGGTTACCATACTTTACCTGACTACTAAGAAAGCATTAGTGCTTGTTAGTAAGCAACCAGAGGACCTATGGCTTTTACATCCTTTCTGAGGGACCTAACATTTAATTAAATAATCCAAAATCACCTTGTTGTGACACGTATCTCATATTATGAATTGCAGCAACACAGGTAACTTTGTGTTCAAGCTGATGGCATGGCTCTACTCTGGTTCATCCAGCATGTTCTCAGAGGCCATCCACTCGTTAGCGGACGTGTGTAATCAGTGCATTCTTGCCCTCGGTATCTACCAGTCCTTCAAGAAACCATCAAGGAATCATCCGTAAGTAGGCCCCAAATATCTCTCCTACAGTCAAACCTGCTTTTAGTGACCACATGTCTACAAAGACCACATTTCTTGTTTCCATTATAGCTGCACATTTCTGTTTGGCTGTCAGGTCATTTGAAGCCTCAGGTGTTTGTAGTATCTATAGATTTATTTCTTTTGAGATCCTTTTTTCACATTTTCAGGTTCTTTACTGTGTACTCTGTGGTTTAGAGAAAAAAAAAATGTTTTTGCCTGAAGTTTGCAAGATACCTAGATGACTAAACCTTAGACATTACAGTTATTAGCCTGCATCTCCCCCCCCCCCCCTCAACATATACATTTTACCATCTAGGAGTATTGGCCTTTCACAAATAGTCCATTTCTTAAACTACCATGTGGATGATTAAAACTCTATACATACTTCCATCTCCAGGGGTCTAACATTCCATTTGTATTAATTTTCATTATTCTATAGAATATATTTAAGACGTGGATGCACAGTAATAAAAGACCTGCCAACCAGTACGATTTTGTTGTATTTCGTACGATTTTTAGAAGCAAATGCGACAGTACGATTTTCCTCAATAAAATACGATTTTTTCACAAAAAAAAATAAAGAAATGGTATTTTGTGTGTGTGTGTGCCATTTTCAATGGCAAAATGCCCACTCTGTCCTGTAAAGTATCCTACAAGCATCTCACATCGGTAATTTGGGGATGTTTATTGGTTCATCAAACACAACAGTCGTGATGAAATCATGCATATTCAACCAATGATCTATAAAAAAATTCTTCAGAGTAACAGTCCGTGTTTATTTTAAAGAATACAACTTTTGTCAGTAAAATACAACTTTTTGGATTAAAGAATACAGTTTTTGAACTCCAGAGGTTGGCAGGTCTGTAATAAACAGGGTTGTCTCATTCATGACAAGTGTAATGGTTTACCGGTAGCCTTCTTTCCACATTCATGGTGCCTTTGCTCTTGCATTGCCCTTTGTGTCAAGTCCTACCAAGTTCCCACATTCTCTCTCTTGTTTCTCTCTGATTCTCTCCATCATATTATTGTATGACTATGATATACAGATTGGTAAGGCATTTTGTTTATTGTAATTTTACTTTGTAAACTCCATGCGATTCAGCTCTTGGGCTAGCATGTTGATACCATTTCAATTCTATTCAATGCTTTTTATGCTCATTTTTCCTCTCTGTGTTCACCTCACCAGGTACGGGTTCAGCAACATGCGTCACATCTCATCCCTGATTAGCGGTGTGGGTATCTTCTGTGTGGGAGCTGGTCTCTCATTCTATCACGGTATCACAGGGTTGCTTCATCCTGAGCCTGTGCAATCGCTCTTCTGGTCCTACTGTATACTGGGAGGGGCTCTGCTTACAGAAGGAGGTAGGTTGTAACCCCCTCCCCTCCCCACTCTCTAAATCTCTCTCCTCCCCCACCTCTCTCTATCCCCTCTCTCTACCCCCTCTCTCTACCCCCTCCTCCACCTCGCTCTCATTTTATCATGGTATCACTGGGTTACTTCAACCTGAGCCTGTGCAATCGCTCTTCTGGTCCTACTGTATACTGGGAGGGGCTCTGCTTACTGAAGGAGGTAGGTTGTATCACCTCACCTTCCCCCCTCTCTAACTCTCTCTTCTCCCCCTCTCTCTACCCCCTCACTCTACCCGTGAAAATGTAATATGCAGTTGTATTTTCAATTTAGGTCCTCCCCTAAAAAAAAAATCACAAACATAATTTAAGTCATTATCAAAGTATGAACTCTGAAGTAAATAATGCCTTTTTATTATTTCAGCAACTCTGTCCATTGCAATCAATGCTATCAGGAAAGGCTCTACTGCCAGAAAGATGAAGTTTTGGGATTATGGTGAGTATCACTATTTCAATCATTGAAATTGTATGGTTTGTAGTTATGCAGATGATATACATTGTGAGGTTTTAGGCAAATGTATACAGGCGGAGCGTGATACAATGGTAGTTGCACTTATGAAGGATTTGTATGGAACAATTTCTTGAATAGTTGTATTGTCATTGAATTTATGTGCCATGTATACAGTAATTTTAAGGGGGGGGGGGGGGGGGGGTCAATCCTAAAAAGAAAGAGATGTGTTATTTACTCATTGCTCTTGTTCCACTCCATTCCACAGTGTGGAGGGCTAGAGACCCCAGTGTCAACCTGGTATTCATGGCAGACACTGCTGCTGTTATTTCGCTCTTGGGTATGGAGTGGCAAATGTAGATTAATGCCTTGCCAAGAGACATTTCTAGTGGGAGGGGGGTCAATCCCCCCTTAATGAAAGAGATGTGTTATTTACCCCTTGCTCTTGTTCCTTTCCACTCCGCAGTGTGGAGGGCTAGAGACCCCAGTGTCAATGTGGTATTTATGGAAGACACTGCTGCTGTTATTGGTGTGATCATCGCTGGTAGCTGTATGGGGCTCACCTCGATCACAGGGAACCCCATGTATGACTCGATTGGAGCCTTAGGAGTTGGGACTCTACTAGGTAAGTTGAATCTGTGTCCATTACTTTAAGCCCATCTGTACTAGTGTACAGGAGGGATTAGACCACCCTGCAAGGTCACTGGACAGGTGGTTATCTCATCAAATCAGCTCTCAGTTAACATAAGAAAAAGAGGATCATGGGAGACCAATGGTCACCGATTAGGCATTGTTCGTTATATAGAGGGCGCAAGTAGCTATAAGTAGTGCAGTGGTGCTTTAAGCTTTTTAATTTGGAGTTCTACTTGGTAAGATAATTATATGTTGGTTAGTGTGATCCTCACTGTTAGGTTTTTGGGCTGGCCTCTTGGACAGGTAAGGTAATAAGGTGATATGAAATAGAAGTTATGTTAAGTAATGTTATAACATTTACTCTGAAATCTACCTGATGCCTCATTAAACACTTGTTGTGTCTGTTCATGTAGGACACATTTATTTACTATCTAATCCATAATTCATTTTTAAACTTCATGCACGACGGCTCTGGAGGACTGGAGACAGGTACAATGACGCACTTGACATATTTCTTATTCTGTATATCTGAATTCATCCAAACTTTCGCTTATCAGTTTCTTAGACCTATGCTTTGTTACAGAGCAGCTTGCTATGCAGTCTACATTTTTTTTATTTGTATATATCCGTAAGGAATACCGGTAGACCATTTTTGTAATGCAACCAAATTTATACTGAAGTGCCTCGATACAAATTATTTCAATCACCTGTTCAAAATAATTGTATTTCAATAGTCATAATTTGTGTTGTTAGGTAAGGCAAGTCCTACCTAGCAACAACTAATGCATGTAATTTGAATTGTGAATATCTAGATACATTTATTGTAATGGGTGAATGAAATAACTTGTATCGAAGGATCATGGGGGACTGACAGGCACCGATTAGGCTTTGTTTGCTATATAGAGGGCGCAAGTAGCTATAAGTAGTGCAGTGGGGCTTTAATTTGAAGACTTTCCTGTTGATGATAGTCTTCTTACTTTCTCTTCCAAACAGGAGCCGTGTCTGGTTTCCTCATCTATACAAACACCATGGCCCTGACTGGACGGTCCATCCCGGATGATCAGCTGCTCAAACTCAGCGAGGTCATGGAGAATGATGTCATGATTAGGTCAGTAGAATTAGACATGTCTTGAACATGTTAAAGATATGTTATATTTATGAAGCCCGTACCATTTTACCATTTTAGGGTGACGATTGACAAATATACTGGCATCCAAGCAGTTTTTATGCCTCCGCCACCGAAGGTGGTGCCGGAGGCATCATGTTTTCGGGTTGTCCGTCCGTACGTCGTACCGTCCGTACGTCCGTCCCGTTTGACCGTTATCACAATATCTCAAGAACCATTTAAGATTTAAACTTAAGACTCAGGAATAGTATTTATCACCATAGGAAGACGATCTGATTAGATTTTGGAGTACGTAGGTCAAAGGTCACAGGTCACAGAGGTCAACTTATGAAATTCCTTGTATTGAGTTTGTTAGCGCGATATCTCAAGAACCATTTGAGATTTAAACTTCAAACTTAAGGATAGTATGTATCACCATAGGAAGACGATCTGATTAGATTTTGGAGCACGTATGTCAAAGGTCAAGGGTCACAGAGGTCAACTTATGAAATTCCATACATTGAGATTGTTATCATGATATCTCAAGAACCACTGGAGATTTAAACTTCAAACTTAGTGATAGTGTGTATCACTATAGGAAAACAATCTGATTACATTTTGGGTCACGAGGTCAAAGGTCAAAGGTCACAGGGCTCATTATGTATGCAAAAACAGCTTGTGATCGCGTTATCTGAACAACCGATTGATGGATTCCTGCCAAACTTTGGTCATGTATGTATCTTGCAGAGCTGATGAACTGATTAGATTTTGGGGTCACGAGGTCAAAGGTCAAAGGTCACAGGGCTCATTATGTATGCAAAAACAGCTTGTGATCGCGTTATTTGAAGAACCGATTGATGGATTCCTGCCAAACTTTGGTCATGTATGTATCTTGCAAAGCCAATGAACTGATTAGATTTTGGGGTCACGAGGTCAAAGGTCACAGCGCACATTGTGTATGCAAAAACAGCTCGTGATCGCCTTATCTCAAGAACCGATTGATGGATTCCTGCCAAACTTAGGTCATGTATGTTACTTGCAGAGCTGATGAACTGATTAGATTTTGGGGTCATGAGGTAAAGGTCAAGGTCATGCGGCTCATTATGTATGCAAAAATAGCTTGTGATCGTATTATCATTAGAACAGATTGATGGATTCCTGCCAAACTTAGATCATTTATGTATCTTGCAGAGCCAATGAATGGTTCATAAGATCAAAGGTCATGGGCTCATTATGTATGCACAAATAGCTTATGGACGCATTCGCATTAGAACTGACAGATGGATTACTATTTAACTCAGGAAATCTTGCAGAGCCAATGAACTGAGTAGATTTTAGGGTCATGAGGTCAAAGATCAAAGGGTCATATATGTATATGAGAAATTGCTTGTAATCACGATATTCTGAGAACATGTTAATGGATTACAATTGAACTTGAATTTGAAAAATTTCTTCCGTTTCGGTTTGTAAAATTGCTCTATGACGGAGGCATCATTTTCGACTGCGCACAGTCGAATTCCATCTAGTTTCCCCTTATCTCGATGAAGAAGTCTGAAACAAGAAGATTAAACTAAACTACATGCTAACTACATCTGGTGTTCCGTTCTCTCTCTCTCTCTTTCTCTCTTTCTCTCTTTCTGTTTCTCAGTCTCTATCTGCCTGTCTCTCTGAGTCCAGCCTCAACATGGGATGCAAAAAAAAAGGGGGGGGGGTGTAGTCCCCAAATCCTATGTAGCACACTTAAGTGACCGAAAAGGGAAGATCACCCATAACTATGTCATTTTCACGTTGTTAATGTCATATTTATTTGGTCAAGATAATTGTTCTCATGTATGTGCTTATAAAGTAAATATGAATCATGGAAGGGGCAATTCACTCATTGCATAACATAATAGATTTCTACTCATATTTGATAATAATAGTAATAATAATAATACTATTACTAATAATACTTATTTGCCTGGGGTATCGTCATCAGTATTAATACTGGTCTCCCTGAGGACTCTCATAACAATAATCATACAGCCATGTATATTCAAACTTTTTTTAATATACAAATCTTTTCACAGAGGTGTATACGATGTAAAGGCTACAGACATGGGCGTAAATACGATACGCTTCAAGGCAGAGCTGGACATCGACGGTGCTGAACTCACAAGATCGTACCTTGATACTCAGGACCTGGAAGTCATTCTTAAGGTTAGACCAAGTTTGAGACAAATCACAGGAGAAAGAAAAAAGTATTCCAAAAAATGGTAGCTTAGATTCATTTTGGAATCTTAAATACAATGTACATGTAGATTCAGGAGGGTTACACATCACTGTTAATTAACAGACGGTCATCTTCTAAGCTACCGTAATGTTTTGATTGTTGACATGTAAATTCCTTTTTTTAAATGGTTGCATTACAATTTGATATTTAGTATGTTTAGAAGTTTAAACTGCTGTAGGAATTCAATTCTGGAGAATGTAGTACATTCCAACATAGTCATTACCTAGTACCTTTGTACTGATATGATAGCTGATTCATGGGTTTATCATTGAAAAACCTCTTTATACATCAATCTAAATTTTAATAAACATGCTTGAACATAGAATTAACACCAAGAAAGCAAAGTATTATTAATAAAAAATGCTGTAACTTACTTTTTTCAAAACTCTTGTTTGCAGGAGATTCAGAGCTTTAAGAACTTAGAGGAAGTGGAATATTTCATGCTGAAACACGGAGAGAGGATCATTGACCAGCTGGGTGCAGAGGTGGACAGGATAGAAAAACTCATCAAGGTAGGATTTTGAAATGGATTACTGTAAACCTAATATTCGTGGTGCTTTAATTTTCGCACTAAAGTCGGTGTCCACGAATATTAAAACCCGCAAATATATAAGCATGCCTTCTTATGCCTGTTTTGAATGGGCTGAATTGCGTGCAACGCAAATTTAAGAACCTGCAAATATGTTTTGGGGTCGCTCAGCGTGAAAAATTTATCACACTAAAATAACAGCATTTACAGTTTGATGTCACTGAATATTGGGTATATATACTATGCTGAATAATGATTTTCTGTTTTTTAAGATCCATTATTACCCAGCTTTCTTTTAAAATATTACTTCTGATGTGAGGGAGTTAAAGGAGATAGATTTCAGGGTTTTTTTTTCAAATTTTAATTTTGTGATAAAGCTATGAAGATAGATTGAAACAGCTACAAATTTAGCTTTGGAGTGCCTTAATTTTTAGAGATATGACGTTTTGATTGAAAATCATTATTTTGATATATTATTTCATCCTTGAATATAAGTCTAAACTGACCCTCTGTCTGTGTATGTATAGGATGGATAACATCAGTGTAAAATCCCCAACTGTTTCTTTAGATAGTTAATTAACAGCTTAGTCAGTTGCTCATCTTATCGTGTGGTGTATACATGTAATATTAAATTGTGTGTTCTGTCAACTTAGATGATATTCTTTTCCATCTTTGCTCACAGGCAACGGATCCAGAGGTACGGCATGTGGACCTTGAAATTCTCTAAGGTCACATCTCTTTGGGATGTCTCTTATCCTTCATTGCATCCAAGAGTGCTGACCGGTGGATCTACTTGTTTCGTTTGACCAAGGTGTTCCAGCAGTTGTCAGAGACCAAATGCCATGTTTCTCGTTCTTCATTGCATCCAAGAGCTTTGACCGATGAATCTACTTGTTTCGTTTGACGAAGGAATCTTTAGGTTTTCAAGGAGTCGTCAAAGACCAAATGCCATGTTTCTTGTTCTTCATTGCATCCAAGAGCTTCGACCGATAGATCAACTTGCTTCGTTTGACCTAAGAGTCTTGAGGTGTTCCAGCAGTCGTCAAAGACCACATGTCATTAAGTTAACGTCTTTTTCTGCTACAGGTTGAATCTTCGGCTGCCACATTGTCTGTGAGTGCATGTCACAGATACATTGTACATGTAATAGAAGTAGACGATGGCAGTCCAATGATTGTTCCGGTAGTCGACCGAAGCGGATAAAGATAAGGCCCGAGATAACATGGGATGAAGCCACACAGGATGTGCATGTTAAGTAAATATGAAAGGGTTGTGGTCTGATCAGGAAAGGTGAAGCTGATTGGGTTTAGTGTTAAGTAATAAAGAGAACATTGATGGATAAGATAGAGAACTACGATCGACGAGAACGTTGTCCCTCAGAAATACACACACCAAGACCTGTGCTCACAGAGGCTACCAGTTACCAGGCAGAGTTACCTTTTTCAGAATAGGATATACCAAAGGCAAGACCTGGGGGAAGTTTCACAAAACTTATCATCAGTGACAAATGACAGTTTTTGTTTTAAGCTACTGAAATCCTTGCTTCTGATTGGTTATCAGCAGATTTATCACTGATATTTGTCATTTGTCTTTGAAAGAAGGCTTTGTGAAATGGGTCCCTGGCTTAATTGTCATGTTTGGAGTAGGATGCTGACTGACTTTTTCAAGTTTGAGAAGTTGAAATGTTGTGGCACAGATCTTTGGTTGCTGGAGACTTTCTATTGTGCCATGTGGGAGTTTGTTGTGCAAGCCATAAACACATTTTTCTTACTCTTAGGTATCAGCATTATATGGAGCCTCATATACCGCGAGTGTGAGTCTTTTGACATTTCCCTCTGTTCAGAAAAAAAAAAAAAAATCTACAATGAATCAGTCTTCTTGTGCTTCCCTTAAAATCGCTGCATCCCCTGTCATTAAACAACGTTTAAGCAATTCGTTGCTGTTAAATGTACATGATTGTCGGTATACAGTGTAAGGCAATTATTTATCATCAGGTTCATACTTTTAAAGGTTGAGCAAATTGTTAGTATTGTCTGTACAATTTAGATAAGGGATAATAAAATGCAGATTGTCTTGCATTTAATCAACATAATGCTAATTATTTGCATAGCACAATGTCTGTTGGTAATGACAAGTATTCATTGTTTCAATGGCTGAAGCCAAGCTGCCAGCGGTACAAATGTTATACAAATTCAAACATTCATACAATGGATATAAACTAAACACCTGCAAGTAGCGCTGTGACTGTTCAATTTATCATTCTGCACAGCCTCCAATATTAAAGTAGTTTTAGCATCGGTAGATTCAAGGCATCTTGGTAGAATTGCATGCAATCAAAATGAAATTACTTATTCTGAAATATTGTGAAGTTTTATGCTACATTGAGCACACTTCCAACATATTCAGATTTACATTCGTCATTATTGAATAATTACGATGTTATGTTTATACAAAGAAATGCCCCCAAAGGGGAAAATTGTGACAAATTTCTTAAGTATTTACATGTGGTGATATCTTTAATGTTTGTCAGTAATAATGCTCTTTTTTGCAAGTTCTCTCCCTGTCATATTTTCAAAATTGTTCTGTAGAATGGTGTAATGGAAGTAAAACTACCAATGGCATTGTTTGGAAAACATGATGACAAAACCAGATTTAACATGGATAGTTTCCATGCACATCAGTGCTAAGAAGTGCAACATTTAATCAATTGCTTCTGTCTTGGTGTTTTGTTTTAGCTATTTTTTCTCTTTACCCATAACAGCATCGGATGAACCCTCGTTCAGCAGTATCACTGCAAAGGATATCCATGATGTTATTTTTGATTGTTAAAAATCTACTACAGTTTTTCTTACAATGTAAGAATTGTATTGGCTTAAAATTAATTCATGACCGATTAATAGTGTTTTAATCATCGGAATGAGATAGCAATATCACATATTGTCTCACAAATACATGTGTTAATACATGTAGTGAATTTTGAGGGCGAGCAGATATTAACTTTGTTGCTCATCACAGAATCGCACAACAATTTTCAGCAATGTTTCTACAAATATAACAAATTTTGTCAATGTCCAGGAAATAAATATGAAATTGAAGGTAATAGAAAACCAGGTGCTCCCTCTTCAGGACCACCGAGTTTAGCCAACAATGTTTGAGTATGGTATATGTTGCTTTGTCGGGCAAGCATATAACACAATTATATTTATGCCACAAGGCTACCTTCTTCAACCAAGTTTTTCCAAACATTTTTGGTCTGTATGCTACCGAAATTTAAATAGTATGCTGGATTTAAGCTCAGTGTAAAGTCAAGTTTATTTAAGGGACTTGGTAACATTGTTCAGATGAAAGAAAATGGTGCTAAGGTAGTGACTCCAATGCTAGATGTACAATTAAAGATAATCTGAAATTTTGAGGGAAAAGAGACCATTATTAACGATACAAATTTGGGGAAGCTGATCTGACCGATTTCTTAATTCTTCCAACTATATTATTACAATTTAATTAAATTTTAGGTGAATGTAAATCTTCACAAAACGATGAATTGGCTCTATATTCCATTCCAAACATTGAAGTGTTAAAAGATTTTAAAAAGCCTTTTTGTCTTATTTTCGGTTGGGATAATTCAAAAAATTGTTAGGAGAATTTACTCTTGGAGGGAGTTGCACATTGGCGCCTTCAAAGAAAACCATAAATATCTTTGTGGTTTGAGATTTTTTTCAGGATTTTTTTGCATGGTAGAGGGTAACAGTAAAAGGAAAATGGTAAGTAACATTTCATACAAACAACGTTTTTTTCATCAACCTTCGACAATGTTACTGGATCACGGAAGTTGGTCTAAGGTCTAGGTTTTCCCTTTTTTTAAAGTGACCCTAGACCCGATGTTGGGGTTTAACTGAATTAGTAGATTACAAACCTATCTAATTAATGTCACCTGTATAGGCTACTACTTGAGATGTTTGAAAGCCACTTATAGACTATAGTTCATGTTTATGAAATTACATGGCTATGCCTGTATGCATGTGTTGAACAATATCCTTAAAGATACTTGACATTTATGAGGTACTGTAAAAGAACAAGTCGGAAATAACTCTCTATTGATTATGTGTTGTATTTATGATTGTGCAGAGATATACAAATATGTTGATGTATTTTATGAGACCTCAGTCTCAGTAAAACGATTTAACTTTATATGTTTCTGCTGTTAAACCAACAATCTTGAAATGATGTAATAAAATGAAATATGATATGCTTGAAAAGTCATATTAAGGCATGTATAATTTGTGATCATTGATAGTATTGGTTGTAATCTCTCTCTCTCTCTCTCTCTGTTGATATAGTATATATAGGCAAACAAACAAACACGATATGAAAACAAAGAACCATATTATATCTTTAGTGGAAGTATTTTATTATTGCAGTTCTCTGAAAAGGAGGAAAATACAAGGATGGATATCAAATACTGACATGAATCAGGTGCTGACAAATAATGTATTCATCAAACTTGTTTAGTAGTCATTTTCTGTCTTTGAAAATAGTTAACAGGCGCTGGAGACACACCACTCGATTTAACTCAGAAATATGCGAAATTATTCATGTCAAAAAGCGGTTGGCCTATGCGTCTTACACAATATTCTTCTTTCGTAACGTCTGGCATCTATCTATGAATTTCATATAAGCTTTAAACGTCCGTAAAAGATATTAGTGACCCTAACAAAGCAGTGAGTTGCAATGAATGATTTTTGTTTAGATATGATAATACAGTCCTAATTGTAAAAGACTGCAAGAACCTTTTCTATTCTAAAACGTGGACAATTGATGAAAGAAAACTATCTATAATACCTGATCATGTTATACAGTTTATTAAATGAGCTAGCTTTGGTTATCAATTAAAAACAATACAGAAATGCTCCCGTTCTAATCTTACGTAACAGATTGCAAGAAGATGGCTTCTTTAAAGCCGCATATTCGATGCGTACCAGGAAGATGAAAAAGATCACTTTTTTTTATTTTACATTCTGACACTTCCCAAAATATATTTACGCTCGATGGCATTATAATTCACCTAGTAATATGCGGGACACAAATAATGACAAACGTCTTGGACATCCGAAAAAAATTACGAGTATTCGATGCATGAATGTCCCTCTGAAACTCGGTTCGTTCTTACCATCACTAAATAAATAATAACTATGAAGGGACATCGGTTTTCGTCATGATTTCACTATGATTAACATTTGTCAAGCCTATCGAAATGTAGGTTATGTGAAAGATTTGGTGTAACAGTCATTCTTGCGTCAAGTACGTCTTCCTGTTTGCCATTTTGTCTGTTCATTAATTCGATTTACCAGTTAATGGGTTGGTTCGATTTGTAGGTAGATGGTTGGTAATCTTGTTGAATGCCAAATTGATTGGTTGGTGGGTCGGTTGTCTGGTTGTCAGGATGGTCAGTTGGCCATGGCCTCTTTGGTCGTTCTGTCGGTTAGTCCAATATTGGTGGGCTGGGTTGTCTACCTGTTCGTTGGTTATTCGTTGGTTGGGTGATTAGTCCACTTGGTTTGTTAGTTGGTTAAGCGGTCGATCGGTTTGTTGGTACGTCGGCCGGTCGGATGAATGTCAGACGGGTGATCGGTTGGTTGGATGGTCAGTGGATGGGTAGGGTGGTTGGTCGATTGATTGGTTGGACGGACGGGTGGGCGATTGGTTGGTCGGTCATCTGTTGGTTCGGTGGTCATCCGGGTTGTTGGTTGCGCGGTCGGTCAATCGGGTGTTCGGTTGGTAAGCTGGTTGGTGGTCAGCCGGTCGATCGGGTCGTTGGTTGCGTGGTCGTTTGGGCGGTCAGGGGATCAGTCGACCGGTAGTATGGTTGGTCGGTCAGTTAGGCTGGTTGCTCCGTATTTGTCCGATGGTTTGTTGACTGGTTGGTTCATTGGTCAATTCGGTCGCAAGGAATGTTTTTCGCATCCCCATACATACCAGTCTGTATGTTTTGTCTGTCAGACTCAAATATACTGTAATGTCCATGTCGGTCATCTACTTCGTAATAAGCATTTCTTAGATCGTTGTCAATTTTTAACTCATTATAGCGTCCTCGATCTGCCAGTGACTTTGCGTCTCTCCATACCAAGTCGGTGAATACTGTAATATACGCCTATTTATATTGGTAGGAGGTGCGTAGAGGTCAAAACTACAGTAGCAGTGTAAAAGTTCTAGCCGGTGCGAGGGCACAAAGTGTCGTGAATGCACATTTCGGAAGCGCGTTTACTTTCCTTTCTACTCATATCCTGAACTTCCTGTCAATTTAAGTGTCCGTTAATCTCTCCATGTCTTCAAGGCCATTTCACTGTCAGTCCCGCCGGCGATCTCCCTGTGCATCAGTACAAATATCTTCCCCAACATTTCCCGATGAGTATTACATTAGAATGTGCATCATAGTCGTAGATAGTCCATAAAGCCGTTTCATTTTAACTTGAATCTGAAATGAAATCAAGTGATTTTAAAAATACCCTTTTTCAAGGCGCTCTATAGTTGTCATGTCAGGATCTTTTTTTGTTTGTCAGGTGGTGTCCAGGAATGATTGTCAAATCATGTCAAGCTCTTGACCGATGAAATAAAGCATATGTAGCCCCTTGGTTATATCGCTATCCGTCAGTCCCAAGTTCTACCAGTCAGCAGTCAATGATATTCAAAATTAGGCAATCATGATCAACGTCACAGGTTCAACATAGGTTAATTCTGGCTATGAAGAAACATCAATGATTAGAACTTCCCATTTTCAGAGTCTCAGAGTCGCGGTGGAATTTAAAAGCACGCGGGTCAATCATCAATCAGTATTGTCAGTCGTGTCAACCAGGTCGTGGTGATAGTTTATAGTTTGAAATCTGTACCAACATGCCATTTAGCTCTTGTCAAACACAACTCATTCCAGCCTCTACTGATGGGTACGTGCCATTGTGCCTCCTGGATCATACATTGAACTGAACACCCACACAGTCACTGTCATGAAGCTGAATTTGTGAGTTCGTCTGGTGTTGGTCAAGTCGTGTCGTCATCTTGCATGTCGTCTAGAAGTCTTAATTACCTAACTAATACTAGTAGTTACCGACGAGAAGGCTTGCCGATGAAACATTACATCAGCAATATAAACATAAACTCGGATACTGTGACGGAGCTTCTGAATGGCCAATCGTTCGATTCATTCGTCCAGTACGTGTGTCATTCACCCACTGTCAGGACTGGAGTATATATTCACGGAGGTCACACTATAGTCATGTCATCGTCCTTGTCCCTTTCAATGAGGAGGTGAGTTGGCTCAGTCGGTAGAGCCTCTGCCTGTCGAACCAAAGGTTGTGCATGGGATCGAATCGAACCCATTGGATGTCCCTTGTATAGGACGTTCAATTAAGGCCACATGCAGAGGAGAGTCACCACCTTTGCAATTGCACGTTAAGAACCCACTGCACTATTCGTATTATATAGAGTAGAGGGAAACCCCGGTGTAATAAGTTATACCGAGACCTGATCGAGAGTCCAGGGATTCAGTTCGCTTTTCGCCTTCCAGGCACAGGTGACGCCAAATACTTAATAATTATAATGACAGTAATGAGAAACAAACAGTATCGTTTGAAGAGATGTCGGTGCAAACATTTTGTCAGAAATATGAGCAAATGGTTTTGGAGTCCGTGGTCTTGGTTCTAAAATGCTCATCCGTGTACACATTCATTTGTATTAAAATCAGGTTTTCTAGCAATCTAATTGTCACAGTGGTCCGGTAAGTTTTTCTTTCGTGGGTAACACAAGATTGATTTTATGGCGTTTTGTCGGAACAGTCATAGCAGTGTTCTATTATCTTGTCATACATGATGAGTTTGAAGGCTTATAGACAATCATGATAGACCGTAGTCGTTTGTGAGTCAAAGTCCCACTGTTTTCAGTCGTAGGGTAAGAAGTCATGGTGGTTTTCCAGTTTTGGGGAATAAGTGTAGAGATGAGATTCGTCTTAAAACAAACACCTGTCATTCGTTTCATTAAGGCATCATCCCACACTATCAAAAGGTCTAGACTGTCCATAACACGCGTAAGATCAACAGTTCCGGTCTCCTATAATAGTTCTTCTGACAACTTATCGAGAATGTCCGTCTCGTGAATCTTTTTTAAAAACAATTTCTCGTGAGCTTTTGGTTTGATGGGCCATTGTTAGATAGGAATAGCCCCCTTAAAAAGTTAAAACGATGGCGAAGTACAGTAACAGTTATGTCGGGTTCGGTTCGGGTCATGTTGGGTTCAAATCGTCGTTGATTTGCTTGCGTCCTAAACTTCCGAGGCCTTGCAAAGACAGTTCATATCCTACTATGCAACAAACAGGTTAGTTTAGGATTTTTTAAAATGATCAAGAAATAAATATTTAAGAATGTAGAATATCCCCTTCGTTGTAAATTACTCTGTCATTAATGTAATCAAATTGAAACTCAAAAGAAGGTAATATTCCGTCATTATTAGAGAGAGGGAGCTTGACCTACGCAATGCAATTTCAAGAAACACAGTCTGTCAATAAAACAAAGAACACTGGGTATTAGTACTTCAATACAATATAAAATAATGTAAACATGTCGGTAATAGATCACAGTATAAAAAGATATCCTCCTCGATTTCAGATTGAAGATGGCATCAAATACCATCTCATAATGATATGAAACATTTTGTTTCTATAAAAAGAATCTATACATTATATGACAAGTATTATACTTTTTTTGCAAAAAATTTATGACAATATATTGAAACACCACAGTACAAAAAACGAAGAGATATAATCATCAGTCACCGTGAGGTGAAGTACTTTGAAGAAAGTCATTGCTTAGAAACGCGATATATTATACGTAGTAGATCATATTGGCTTTGCCATTTAATTGCAATAGCCGAAGCTGAAGGTCTTGCATTTCTGTTATGAGTGTCCTTTCATCAGGGTCTTCTTTGTCAGCTGTTTCTGAAGTACCGGGGATATCCTTGTTGCTACCGCGGTTAGCCGCGCTGCTGCTTCGGCGGTACGCGAGAACGGACGTCTCGTCGGCGTCCTCCTGGTCGTTATTCTCGATCTCCGTCTCGTCTTCCTCGTCCACGTCGTTTGTCCTCTTTCCTTTACTATCCCCAATCATGCCGACACCGCCATCGCTAATCGCCCTGAGTTTCGAAGACAAACTTTCACTGCTTCCCGCGCTGCTTGTCCCGCGTAACGTTCCATACGACCGTTCCACAACCGTGCTCCTCTCCGTATCCAAATCAGGACAGATATCCGAATTGGTCTCGTCGGTATCCGTACTAAACCTCGCCATGAGCGGCGTATGCGTGAAACTGTTCTCCTTCCCCAGACCTCTGAAAGGCAACACTGATGTCCGTCGCCGGGTTTCGGTTTTACCCGGTCGCTCCTCGGTCCGTCCACCACCACCACCACTAACCGAATTCAGGTTTTGAGTCACTATCCGCTTGTATTCCTGTTCGAATCGATTAACCGCACACGATTCTTGATTGTCTATGGGAGTCTCTGGTAAGTGTAGCAGCATTTGTAATTCATGTTCTTTCCCTGATGTGTCCAGGTCAAATTCACTTAGATGACCTAGACGGTATTGCTCCTCTCGTTCGAGCATGCGTAGTACACCTTCCAGCTCGGCTATTTTGGAATCAAGCTGCAAAAATAAGAGAGATAACCCCGATGATACAGTTTTAATTGCCGGAAAGAAATATAGTTTATGTTATGTGTATAGTATAAGATTGGTTGACATCTTAGATTTCGCAAATATGAGATCTACACCTGTCTGGGACTTTGGGAGGGGGCGGGGTTGAAACCCATATATGAACAGTTTCTATGGGCAATTTATTTTACAACCTATGTCGAATTTGCAAAAGTATTTGAAGACTTTTGGAGGTTGAAAGTTTTTAAAACTCTTGTAAACAACTTTAAAAAGCGAAAGAAAAAAAAACATCCCGAAGTGGCATATTTGTGTGAACTGTGTTTTATACAGATGTGCATCCGTCAAGACCATCACCATCTGAAACAGCTCAGGTTCGAACCTGTGTCTGTTTTTTGCAAGGCCAGAGGACTTACCACTATACCAACCTACTTTTAAAGGAATGCTTCTAAGAAATAAGTTGCCATAATATTATCTCGTCACCACTTACTTTTCTATTTTCTCTTCTGAATGCTCGTATATGAATTTCAGCTCTATAGATGCTCTCCTTTAGCTCCGTCGATTCGTCCATCACAAAGCGACGGGTTCGACCTTTGACCTCTAACCCTACCGACCTGGTGACCGGGTCATTGCTCACACTTATTCTTATTGCATGGAGCTACAAAGAGAAAGGATCGTGAACATTAACAAATACAAATGCAAGTATCAACAAGCGAGGTAAACAAGCCAGGGATGAAATTATTTCAACGAAACTGCCACGTGTGACGCAAAACGCCAATTATCTTACGACTTCTTTTTCTTCTACTTCATGAACTGTACGTACATTCTACTGATGTTTTATTCTCGTACTGCTGCTTGAGTGATATACAAGTGCAGGGGATTGTTTCACAAAGACTAAGATCGACTTTAAGTTTGACTCAACTATGACAGGCCGTTCATGCTACAGTTTTCTCTCACTATTTACTGGCATTGGTCTCTCAAGGGACGTACAAATCATGGTCACAATTTTACAGAATTTACATTTTTCGATTGTTCATAATTAAAGGAAAAAATATTATCTAAAGATCATAATTTTGAGAGCAACTAGTGGCATGAGCAGCCCATCATAGTTAAGTCCATTTTTAAGTCGATATTAGTCTTTGTGAAACACTCCACTGAAGTATCATCAGTGGGTTGCCTTACATTTTAATATTCTATGATAGGACAGCCTCATCCGCTGGTTCAAAGTTCACAGTTTAATAATTCCTATATTCTTAGATTTGGAATAAAATCAAGCAGTAAATTTTCAACTCTTTCTTTTATTACTTTAGGGCATGATAGGCTAAGGGATATTTCTTTCCATTCGATGCTGAGTAGACCTATCTAATCTGGAGACATGGTGGAAAATCTAGATGGTCTAGACTCTAGAAGGTCTAGATGACCAAGAACAAAAAATGATTAACAAAATGTGATGAAGTACTTTCCTTCATGATGGACTGGATTATATCAGGACACCTCCCACTGGACAACCACCTCCGGATAACCACCCTCTAGTGGGTTATCCGGAGGGTGGTTGTCCAGGGGGTACATCAACATTCTTTATTCAAGACCAAAGCATGAAATTTTTACCTTTGGCACAAAAAGTAGACACAGCGTGGCAGTGGTAGTAATACAGATACAGAGAGACACGAGCATGAAGGACATCGTCCGATGGTTACCCTGGATGACCCAGTTGTTGACCACGACGGCGAGCACGCTCATGATGACCACGTTGTACACGCAGACGGCGATGTAGTGGGAGTCGTTGAGGGCGGGGATCTTGACGTTGCGCGTCTCCCAGGCGAGGAAGACGCCGAAGAGAAGTAGAAGGCCCTTGTAGGAGTAGAGAGCGACCAGCCATTTGCTCTGGTGCGACGACGTGCATTCTTCGATGACGGGCACGTACGCGCGCGTGCCGTCGTCTGAAACCTTGAATAGAAGAAGACAGGAGTAAATTGCTATTTTGTTCTGCAAGTTAACATGGTCCTAGTTCAAACTTGTATTTTCTACTGGTTTCCAACTGGTACGAGTTGATACCAGTAATCAACTGGTCCCAGTAACAACTGGTATTCTATTTGTCCGACTTCAAACTGGTATTTTTACTGGTTTTCAAATTGTATCAACTGGTATCAGTTATTGATACCAGTTGGAAATCCTGACTGGTTTCAACTGGTATCAACTGGAATTTCGACCTTGGTATCTAACTATACTCTTAAAAAGTGATGTCAGAATTTCTGTCAGACCCGAGAGTTGTCCTTGTCAGATCTTTTCGTATTGTTTTTTTCCCCGCAGAGTAACTATCAGTTTAATTTTGTTTCACCTCTGTAACCCTTTGCAAACTAACCTTAATCAAACCATTTGCTAACTCATAGGAGATGAAGATCATTATTCAGTAAAACAAAGAAAAAATGAAACAAGAATATACGCGAATCCAAACTGGTATTGAGTCAGAAAAATTGACGGTACCCTTTGTGTAGGTGATTAATAAAGGGAAGTATAAAGAATGCTATTTTGGGTATTATTTACGATGCAAATCGACAATAATACCACTAAGTAGCCGTGCCCCACGTAAGTATGAACTAACCTCGACATTCAGGCGTTTTTCTTGTCGGTACATGGGATCCAGTATTACCCACAGTGCAATAAGAATGACATCCAGTAATAGCAAAACTCCGATCATGAGGAATAACGTTGATTCGTGCAGCATCTAAAAAAGAACAATAATAAAAAATAATATATTACATTTATATAGCGCTTAATACAAAGTTTCTAAGCGCTTATCATCAATCATATACAAAACAGAGTCAACTTTGTTTTTCAAGATTAGCACAACTAGTTTTGGATGTGTGATCACTTAAAAGATGTAAATGCTTGGGGTATTGAACAATAAATGTAATGTACTCAGAAAGAGCAGTATGCGGCTATTGCATCTGGTAAATAAGACTAAAATAATAGTAACCATTTTTTTAGGGGCTCTGTTATGCAGTGAACTAGTTTAGTGTCCAAATTTGAACATTCATTTCCGAATTCGCAGTTACAGAAAATAGACGATATTGTAAATCAGAATTTTTGACTTTTATTCTTAACACATCTACGACGATGCTGCTTGCAATAGAGTGTTGTTTTGAATTTTACATGTTAACAAATCTCTAGACTCGATCATTCCATTTAGCTTATAATTGACTCTGTCCCATTTCCTATCTAGGTAGGTCATCAAACAAATCAAATCAAAGCTGATATATTGGAATTACCGCTCAGACAAACACAAATCTAGGACAGTAATTAATCTGTCTGAATATGAATGTGGGGATGTCGTTTAGGGGCGGATTCGGGGTTCTTTAATAAGAGGGGTGGGGGGAGGGGTGGGGGTGTGTAATTCCGAAAATATGGGTTTAAGTTTGTGAAGGAGAGTATACTAAGGCAGTAAGGAGGAACATACATGTAGTGTTATTAATGTGTGACACATTTGCTTTGAAAGAAATGCGGGGGGGGGGGTGACTAGTCAAGCTGCCACCCTTACTCTCCCTTGGATGTTATCATAGTTTTTGTCTGTGTTAATATTGTTTGCAAGTATTCCCCAAGGAGTAGGATAAATTCAATAATATGGTTTTAAAATCGAGCAAGCTTCTTAAATATTACTTTATATTTTGTCAAAATCTCATTTTCTATCTGGTTTAAGTGATTGAGCAATTGCAGTATAATCTTCCTCCCATGTGCTCAGATTAGGCACTAATACAAAGCGATCTACGTCAGAGCTTTAGTCAACGATCATTTTTGGCAATCACAATCTTCGATCAGCTAAGCTGAAACAATGAATCGCATCAAGGCATATAGAATGTGAAGAGATAATGTATAGAAGTTACGTTTTCTAGTGGATAAGTCACTGGACTGTCAATCACACGGTTCACGATTCGAGTCCCTCTGCGGCACTCATGTCCTTTGTCAAGATAGGGCACGAGCTCCGGCAACACGAGCTCCGTGGTAAATATCCTACACTAGCCGAATTCTTAACTTCAACCCGGACCAAACACTAGCCCTAAGCCTATCCCTAAACCGAACCTGAAACCCAATCATAACCATAACCCTATCATCTTTCATTAAATGAAGACAGTTATGACAGTGAAATAATAAATTCAGTCACTTACTTTTCTTTTGATGACTCTGCTCATAGCATGTGTAATGATATGATATACCCGATAGGTCTTGACAAACATAGATCCGAACGCCATGGAGAATCCGACCGCTAGGAACGATGTGCGGATCTGAAAGAAAAAGCAAGACAAGTATATCGTTAACAAGTACATCAACAATAACATTTGCCATAACATCTTGTGATGTTGAAAGTTGCTGGTAATTGTGTTACACATATTAAGATATTTGACAGATTGGAAAATTTCGTCATCATTATCTTTAAATTTGGTCCAACACCGGTACTCAACTGGAAGAAGAAGAAGAAGAAAAATTAAGTTACAACATAATTTTGAATATAAAATTACTATTTCTTCATAAATTTCTCAGGAATTTTCTTCTTATCCTACACCATAGATCAACCAATGTCACCACAATTTAATATGAGGGACCATGGTGTAATGGGTCATAGAATTTGATTTTAAATCAAGGTTTGCAGATTTTGCCAGCATGCCTATGTCCCTATCTTAGAAAAGGTATTTCATCTCCAGTTGCCTCTCTCGTCACAGGTGTAGAACATGGGTAAATGACAGTAAAGAGTTCCTTGAGTGCGGGAGAGCAGTCGCACAGTCATGCAATTATAAACAGTTGACCATCTTGGCAAAGGCAAGTTTGCAGCACTGAAGCGTCTGAAACAGACAGATCGACACTGCATGCGTGGCACCAAGATCCTATGACTTCATAATTGTTCTGATCAAGCATGGCTTTGGTAGAAGCACATTTTTCTTTTCAATGTTGTAATGATTTTGACTACTGTCGGAAAATTTGAAATTATAAAAACAAAATAGACGGGAGATTTTCGTCATCATTGTCTATAATTTGGTCCAACATCGTCTATTCGAAATATGCTTTAATCCGTTGCCTACGGGAACCGGATGGTCTCTGTATTAAGCCTATGCGACTTTGTCAATCCAGAAGTCAACAGGTTAAATAGTGTAGGGACACACACACACCTGAGATATGGTACACATGATATATACATACCGTGCAGAGAGGAGCAAAAACAACATCCGAGACTTTATCCCCGTCGAGGCCCATCATGAGAATGGCCGAGTAGACCGCAATACAACCCACAACCAGGATGTTGTTCAGGTTGGGGCTCGATAGTTTGATGTACCTGAAGTGGAGTAAAAAAAACAGAATAAAATTGTTTGAAAACGGAAAACTATTGAAAAAGCGGATGATCCTAAAATGGGAGATGACTGCAGACACTATTTTCCACCTATTTTGCATTCATTATAGTTATACGATATAATAAAATCGAAAGACTGCTAAAATATATCGCTATATTCTACGCCCTCTTTTTAATTAATACAAATATTGACAGCGTCGTCAACAAGATGTGTGATGCAATTAATTTTGTATATAATTTTGTTTTTCTTCATTCATTTTAAAACGAAGAAAGCAGTATCAAATAATATTGGAGCAGAGAAATAAAAGGTACAGAAAACTATATTCAGACATGACAGAGCAGTATGGTTCGTACAATTATCTTGAATCACATCAGTCAGCCACCCTAAATGCTTTATTTTTTTTGTTCAAATAGATCGTCAGTTCTCTGCCAGGAGGTCACATGACCTATGTATTGTCAATAATAGTTAGTGGCCTTCTTGTGTACATCCCACGAGATACACTTTATGGGGAGTGTTTCACAAAGACTAAGATCAACTTTAAGTTGGACTTAACTATGGCAGGTCATTCATCCCACTGTTTGCTCTCATCGTTTACTGGCATTGGTCTCTCAATGGACGTACAAATCATGGTCACAAATCTATATAGTTTACATTTTTTAAATAATAAATTCATTATTGATGGAAAAAATATTATCTAAAGATCATAATGGTGAGAGCAAATAGTGGCGTGAACGGCTTGTCATAGTTAAGTCCAACTTAAAGTCGATATTAGTCTTTGTGAAACACTCCACAGGATATCTAATCGTGTACATTGATCATCACTTGGGATCATGTGCATATCATAAATGCGGTCACCACTGTCTCAAGTGTACCCAGTGTTTTTGTGTTATCTGTCTGAGTCTGACGATGAATGCGATAAGGAACCTACTTTGTTTTCCTGTACTTGATGTTGAATGCTAGGAAGAGGAAAGCGAGGAGGATCCCGAAGACGGTCAGGACGGAGATCGACAGGAATGCAGCTGAGTTGATCCGAATAGGCTTGTCGAGAACGATCAGGTGGTCGACTGGTATAAAACCACCTATTAAAGATAACAAGAGTAAGAAAGATGGTAGTCAATTGCATAGGTACAATGATCATGATGCTCATTGTAAGTTAAACAGTGTGTACAACTCTTTAGAAATTACCCATGACAACTAAATGACAACTCGCAAATATTATTCAGCGAACATTAAAATGAGATAATCTGAACATGATTTATAAAGGAAATACAAATGACTTATGCAATTTTCCTACAGTTGATGCGAACGTGTTTGCATGAGATTTAGCTTTATGATACGGAGAATCATTGTGATCACCTCTCCATTAGAAACATGTTTATGTACCCCGATTAGCACTGATGCACTCTAAGAAAAAGAAAGACATAACGAAAGAAAGATAGAAAGAAAGGAGGAATAAAGTAAAGAAAATAAAAGAAACACGTTATCTGCCCCTGCTTAAATAAAACAATAGTGCTGGATTTATCTATACTATCTTCATGAGATGTGAAATTACCCCCAACCCCTTATATCAATTGACCTTACCCTCTAAATGTGCAGCCATCCTACACCTACTACTACTTGATAATTATTCTCGAACACTTATCTCCGTATCTCAAACTGACCCACGTCCTAAAAATGCATTCAATAAAGAACGATGCACCTTTTCTATTTCTATCACAATAAAATTTTGGCCTGAAACACTATTCAACAAAGCCAATACCTGTACAACAATCCAATTGCTATGGCAATTGACTTCTTGCTCTCTGTATCAAAATACATTCAATCAAATCTATATATTAACTAGCTCCAATTCATTTCTGGTCTCCTATATGTAACCCGAAACACACTTCATCAGAGCCTATCCAATAATCCCACTTCTATCGACATTGACCTCTTGACTCTCAAATAGATTTGATCAAGAAATATGCAGTCAACAATCAATTGAGCCATTCCGAAATAGACTTCTCTAGGAGCTGTACAATCGCGGACCCAGGATTTTTACGGGGGAGGGGCTGGAGGGAGAGGGAGGGCAAAACTGTTCCGACATTGCTCAGCGATATTTCCTTCTAAATATAGGGTTAGAGATTGGAATGTAAATTGGTTTGAGTTTATGAATAGGTTTCAGGTTTTACACTTACAGTCAGGAGTAGTGCTGGGTTAGGGGGTTGAAATAATTAATTCTTTTAGTGAGAGCTTGGCCGCGGAGGAACTGTCACTTGAGTATGTATCGAACAATTGCAATGTGATTTACACATTGACAAAGGAGGGGGTACGCGCCCCTTACACCCCTCCACCACTTCTACACAATCAACCCACTTTAACCTCATAACAAGAAATGTTTCATCCGTTCCTGAGACATGATGGATGCATATTTTTGCTTCCTCTTCGGTCTCTAATCAATTTCCGAAATCGCCGTGGTACCTAGCGCGGCGTCGTCAGATGTACGCCGGGGTGACTTCGGCCTGGATTTGGGCGCTATTTGATACACCCCGCTTCATGAATGAGCACAAATTGCTCGATTCTTCACCCGGTTTTGTCACACAGATAAAACGGTTTCCCGGTGATTTGAGCAAGGACGTGTAAGCACTGGGGTATCCCCTTACGTTTTGTGATCGGGTTGGATTCTCGTCACCCACGGATACATCCATGCTCTATTTCTCTCTATTACATGATCTATAAAGTAACATTTTTGCAGACAGTTATAAGGGGACAGGGCAAAGTGCCCCTTCACGGATATTTTTAGCTTGAAAAATAGGGCTTGTAAGATTCAAGTTTCAATTATCATGGTTATTTGACCTAATAACCATCAGAAGACTCGATCGATACGCAACTTGACACTTTTCCTCTTAAGTCTTATTGAACCCGTTGAATTTGAAATAACATCGAAAGCGAAAATGACACGGACAACTCGATACTAACAAAAGACAAAATAAATTGTAAGGACTTGATATAAGAGAGCAAAATTAGAAAACTAAGGATAAGTAAAATGACATATAAAATCAACGTGACAGAAAGAAAACGAAAGGTAGTTGACATAAAAGAAAAACATGTGACGATTATAATAATTCAGGTTTAAAATTCTTGGAACGTTTGTTGGATGTTTATTCTTCATCGATCTCTGAAGCAATGCTATTTTCTAACTCCTAACTTGCACTCGGATATAACAAATATAAAGCTCAAATTTGTTTTGCAACCCGAATATTGAACATAATATGTAACTCGATGAAGATTAATGGTGTATCGGTTTGCCTTTTGTTGACAAAAATGGGACACTGTTACAGTGATATATTGGAAACCCAGAGAGTTCGCTTTTTCTTACAAAGAATTTCAACCGCCGCAGGGGAAGACGGATGTTTTTCTTCAATCGTTTATGATTCTATAAATTTGGGGAAATATTGAGGGACGATTTTTGATGTGATTTGTATCAACGGTTATCAACGTACAGTGTTTATTGTTTCTAATACAACATCATATTCTCGGTTCCGTACGTACGCAGCGAGCGTTTGTGAACAGCATCACATTTTCACTATTAAAAAAATAAGTTTATCTTGGGTCAAGACACAAATCAAAATTAGGGCAATTTAAGTAAAAACCTAAATAGTTCTATAATCGAATTTCTTTAATTGATTTCAGCTGACACTGATTAAATTTTATCAATACTAAATTACAGCAAAGTCTTTTTCTTTGATATATCGTGTGGACACATTCTACCTGTTACTAAAATTAAAAACTTGCCTTGTCTTATTCTTGGCAATGCAATTATGACCTCAAACTTAATCATGTTCAGTGTTCTTCTAAGAATTACTTAAATATTAAAAGGATCACACTATTTATCAATCTCTTTTTGATGTATTTTTAATGTAAGCCTAAACCACGGAATGTAAATTCGTGTAGGCCTATTTAGAGGCGGAGCTTGGGTGGGGCATTGGAATTACTATTTTTTACAAGGGCGACAGAACAGAGGAAAGATTCGGGGCGGTGTAGCTCCTATCAGACCCCCAAATCGGAACGGAAAATTAATGTCTCCTCTTTTCTCTCTCTCTTTCTCTCTCTCCCTGTCTCTCGCTCTCCTTCTCACCTCATATATGTCTGTCTTTCTCGACCTCCCTCTGCATGTCTGCCTATCTGCATGTTTCTTTCTCTCACTCTACTCTCTCCAACCATTTGTCCTAACCACTAAGCCTCCGAAATTAATACAATAAGTTCCTGACAATTTCCCATTTGCGACATCACACTGAAGTAATAACGTAATGAAGCGATTTAGGCCTGATTGCCCACTTTAAGACCCCCTTTCTTTCTCTCTCTCCCTAAATGCCTTCACTACGATTTGGCTACGCCCCGGTAAAAGTGCAAGTCATCCCCCGGAGAATCCGCGTTCAGAAAGGACAAAGAAAAGTGGAAGTAAAATCATACTCAAACATATTCTCTCGCGGCGTGTTTCATTACGGTAATAGTATGCCACGTGTACTTTTATTCTCATCCGGCATACGAGCTGAAAATACGCCACTGCAAGTGGATACGATCAGGAAAGAAATAAGAGCGATTGGAATTACGTCCATCAGCAAAATGTCAGACGACAGTAAGACAGGCGATCTAATGAGCCACATTACATGGTATTGTTTCTGAGAAATGATACTTGTTCATAATATGAGACCGGTAGGCCATCTCCAGGCATGTTCGCGTGGGTCGCAATCATATCCTGGATACGTTAGCAATTACGAGCTGTCCGAAAGCTTAGTCATATCCATTGGTTAGAGTAATGAGAAAAGGGCTGTGTATACTTTACTTGAAAATGGTATGTTAAACGTGTGGCTGTGAGAATGATGCCTTTGAAAAGCGACCCTCGTTTTTATAACAACTATAATTACGAGCAACGTTCGCTTCGTGTAATAAGTACCCTGCGTATCATTTGTTCTACCATAATCGATGTTGCCATTCCATTATCAAGCTATAGACTCTCCAATTTGTCTCTATTTTCAAAATGTCACTTTTGATTTGTTTCGAGAAGGCAATTTCTATGTGAAATAATACGAGGTAATCCAAACACTGCCAATCCTGGTTGATCAAAGTATTATGCATCTAATGACTGTATCAAGCAGATCGATTATAATCATATGGAGTGATATTACAATGCCTCTATTAGGGTTATTGTCTCAGTCTACCTATCTGTATTACAACGGACGTATAAGGCTTGGGTTTAATAACGCAAGAGATATGCTGTTTGCATGTAATTACATCTCTGTAATACTCCGTTTTTGTTTCCTCAGTTTTCTTGTGGGTATTTGGCGACTTTATTGTCAATCCGGAAAAGGTTAGTTGGTTAACGGTATGACATTGAGCTAGTTAAGGAAGATGAATGGCGATCTTGTGTATATGACTGACAGTTTATAGTAGAGCAGATATAGAGAGAGAGATGGAGAGGGACAATGCCGAAAATCGAGAGAGGGAGGGGTGAGCGAGAGACAGAGAAACAGAAAGAGTGAGGGGAGGGACATCGAGTGAGCAACAGAGAGAGAGAAAGAGAGAGAGAGGGATGGGGAGGAGGAAAAGAGTTCATAGAAAGTGGGAAATTGCTCAGAAAGAGAATGAAAGAAAGAGATAGATAGAAAGAGAGAGATAGAGAGAGAGAGAGAGAGAGAGAGAGTTGGGGAGTAAAAGAGTAAAAGGGAGAAAAAAGAGAGAAAGTGAGAAAAAGTAGAAAAGAGTCTGAATGAGAAAGAAAAAGAAAGAAAACGAGGCGAGTGTAATTTTGATTTGCGAAAATGAAATAACCGCCAACTGAGGAGAGAATCAATATTTAATGTAAACATGGTTACCATTTTACATTGAGATCATTTTTTCTTCACGAAGGAAATACACGAATGCAATTTGTTTTTATTGCACTCAGACAACATATTATATCACTGTATATATGTTTTCTATTTGTAGTAAACGTTCCTCTATTGGAAATGCTCGAAACAATACAATCAAACTGCTCGGGATGGCTACGGTAATAATGAAACGGCACTGGCACGAAGGAGACATTTTATTAGAGTGCGTGGGGTGAACGACTTTCTCTCTCTCTCTTGCTTAAAAAGAACATCTATTTCAACATGTTTTGGAGCTGCATCACAGTATGCTTATTCCGCAAGAAGAATGAGGTCACCTGTCGGAGCCTCTTTCAAATAAATGAACATGATGAAGATGAAAGACTCATGTTGGGTGAACGAATAAACAAGTTTACATCTGAAATATTAGGTGTTACTACCGCACTGGAATTTTCCTTTTCATCGCTCTATTTTTATTCAGGTCGTTGACCATCTACAGTTTCTATGGTTTCAGAGTTCGACGTGATAAACATAACTTAATTTTTTTCATGCAGAACTATTTTTGGCACTGATGCGAAGCTCGCTCTTTTTCTGTCGGTACATGTTCTGTGAATGAAATATATGTCATATTTCTTTAGATGCTGCTTCGCTATGACGGGTTTACAAGTTAATTCACCACATAATTATGATTTATACCTTATCGTATTGATCATATTTCTATAGAATAAACATGCATAATCTTCTTCTTTATTTACCTTACGTAATTTCCAAGATTGAAATAGGCGGATGGATGAATAAGGAAAATTGGTATGATATTGCTAAAACATGGGCACTTGGCAAGTGCCCCTGTGCCCCACCCCTTACGCAGCTATCCCATTGTACGTGACCTTTGTGCAAAACATGATTCTAGAATGGTTTAACTCACCGGCCCAGTTGATTGGCACAGTCCCCTCCGTCTCAAAGTCTAGCAGCTCACTCTCTGGGAAATACAAAGCGACCCGTTTTAATTCTCCACCTGAATAAGAGCAAGATAAACGCTTTATAGTCGATGATAATAAAACAGCCCTGTGGAACGCACAATGTATGTATAATTATGTGGAAAATCACAAGTGTTTGAAAAAAAAAGTAATTACCTTGATTTTGCCGGAATGTGGTAATACCAAATCGATCTGGACCAGCGAACGAAACAGGACCCTGTAAGGAGGTGAACAAAAATAAGTAAGAACCTCTATCATTAAGGTTATATTTGGTACTTATCTATTTCATGAAACATTATCGTGTTTAATTGAAAATAATTAACAATTGCCAGTGGTCCTAATAACAATTTGTAGCATACAACTTCTGACTATTACATGGATTTGCCCTTTGACCCAGTGATCTCTAGATTTAAGAGAAATTGCCCTCAACCTGGATCACCGTTGCATCTCGCATGTTGATAAGGACAAAAAAAGAAGAAGTTTAATGATGATTGCTTTTATTCAAAACGATTTATAAAGCAAAGTGAGTTTGACTCACATGTCTTAATACTGTATACTGGATGAATACACTTTATAGCAAAACATCCTACCGGGCATGTGCACCATGGTGGCACGGGGGAGGGAGTGGGGGAGGGGGGGGGGGGTAGGGGCATCTAATCTCTCCTGTACGATCCTATGCCAAGGATAGTTGCATCCTCACATTTTTCTTGACTTCATCTTGCCCTACCCAAACAAAATTTGGTTAAAAAGCAAGGAGCCAGCACGTAAAATCAGGTTGTACTACAGCCATTTGACACTCACCGAAACACCGGTGAATTTTACTTCGGACATGATGTCGATCAGCGCATCCTTCATGCCTTCATCCGTGTACGAGAACTCCGCGGACCCGACGTCGCTCATCACCGTCGTCGTCGTCGTCGTCAGGATCGATGCGTTGCTCGGCGTCGGTTCCGTGACTATCTGCATGGCCTCCTTGAGGGCGAGCGTGATGGTCCAGACGGCATCGTAGGTCTGAGCGGCGTGAGTGGAGAGGTGCTCGATTCCACGCTGCTTCATCTCCTCTCGGAACTCCGATGAGGTCTATAGAGTGCACATAAGTATGGGTATTACGAATTAGACCAGTACTATTCTGATCTTAGGCGCATGAACTCACAGCTTCAATACATTTAAATCACCAAAATCAATGAAAGCATTTTTTTTTTTACTTACACTTGCTAGATTACTGGATTTTGGGACTCTTCAACTAGAGCCTGCTTGAGATTGGAGGTTCCCAAGAACTGATGTAAATGAACTTTGTAAATAATGATTTTGAGTTTTGAGTTTTAAACAGATTGATAAAAAAAACTATTAATACCACAGTCACGCCGGTGAGATCGACACCAGACCGATAACAGACCGACCAAACAATTACATTATATCACATGGCCAATGCTCGGTCGTCCTAGCGTCTACGTCAGAATAGGATGGAAAACAAAATCAAGCTTTCCGTTAAAAGAGAATTGAAATCTCTCATGATATTCTTGTATTCTGAAAGCGTACATGTAATTGCACTAGAAGTGAGATTCTAAAACTAAAAATTCCTCTGTTCATTGAGATGAATGGACCGACAGTGCCAATCCAACGACACAAAATCTAAGAAGATGCAAGATGGAGGAAGAGAAAAATTAAAAGCAGTCGCGACAACTCACCAAGCCCGAGACCGACATCCGGTCATCGACGTTGGTATCCATGCTGTCGACAGCGAAGTAGCCCTCGACGGCCTCGGTGAGCTCCTCGGGTGTGCAGTCGATGCGATCGTCCTCGACCAGCCACCAGTCTCGCATGTACCAACCTACGAGAAGCCAAACGTACTTTGCCCCATACAGGCCCCGCTTGTAGGCCTAAAGTGAAGAAATCAAAACAATGTCAGGGAGAAAGATTAGAAAGATGGAAGGAAAATCTATTCAGTGGTGTCGTGGTCTAGTGGTTACGTCACCGGACTGTGGATCACATGGTTTGCGGTTCGAGTCCCGCCGCGGCCCTAATGTCCATTTGTCTACATTTTGTCACCCTTCACCCAGGCGAAGTAAATGGGTTGCAGCCGCCCTATATAAATGGACCTATTATTATATATTTCAAGCATGAATCTATACACTCCTCCCACCAAAGAATACGTCTCTTATTTCTCTACCATTATCTATACATTTACTTAGTAGTCGTCCATAGGATGCAACCGAAAGAATCCTCTCTCTCTCTCACTTTCTTTCTACAGGCTCTTAATCATACAGAATGGGATTTAGTATCACTACATTTTCGCTACGTGAGGCACCGATAATCCCCATATTACGAGGAAAATACATGCTCATGAAGTTCTCTTGACTCGAGCACAGTGCACTGTTCGAGGGCAGTGCAACCTTACACAGACACGCAATTGCACAGATTGACCACAAATGAATCTACTTCGTCGTGAGCTAGTTTGTTGATTCGGCCGTAATATGAACACACTAATCAGGCTTGTCCTCATCAGCCTGAGATTGCCAAATATCCCGCTATTTCAACTATCCCAATGGCAAATTATCCAGTTAATTTGCGTCTTCATCAGGCCGAAGTTGCAATTAGCGGGATATTTGGTCGAGATAATCATCCCAAGATATCTTGGGCTAGTTTTCAAAATATCCCGCTATTTGTCCGGTGCGTTTTCACCAGCCCGAAGACTCGCACTATGCGCGAATGCTGAGCAAAATATCTTGAGCTAATTTCTCGAGCTCGAGTTTCAAGTTTCGAGGTCAAGTCTCGAGGCGATAAAGACGCGATTTGTTTAACTTCGGGATTATTTCCCAAATCAGAAATAACGGGCTACTTGGCAATCTCGAGCTCATGAAGGCAGGCCTTAGCTCAGAAGAAGAGTGCAAAGTGAAAGGGCGCCCCAAAGAGCAACTGACAGCTTATACCACCCAAACTGGCTCAGGGTATTTTCTTTCAAATTCGAAATGACAGTCCCCAGGGTAAAGCCGTTGCCCTCACAGACATTTGGAACGTAAACCGTAGCAGGTTGCAGATTTCGAGACATGCATCATTTTATTCTAGCGAACCTTGTTAAGACACTTAACACCGATAAGGGCGCTTGCACTGCTACTACTACAAGATATAAAATACTGATAAATAATTATAAAAATAATTGTAATAGATATGATAATACTAAAAATATTCTGGATTTATAAAGTGCTATACTGAATACCGTCTCTAAGCGCTTTACAGATAGTCATCGGATTCATTCACGCACAATGTCCACCATCTCCACTCTCGGAGGAGTATTCCTATTATATGGTCACCGTGAGGGCATAGGCAATTACTAACACATAGTAATGCTTCCGTCATCTTACCAGGTCCCCATTTCTCTCTTGAGTATTGAGTGGCAAATGTAGATTAATGCCTTGTCAAATGAAATTAGTGCCGCGTCGGGGATCGAATAACCACAACCTTTGAATTTCAAGTGCTTTAACCACTCGACTATACGACACTTCAGTCTAGACACTACAATATAGATCTAGAAAGGACGTGTGAGAAATGTAGAGGTGGGGGGAGGGGGGGGGGGCGCAGTCTCAGAACAAAGATTAGATTGAACGAAGAAAAGACATTGGTAGAAGCGAAAACAACGTGAAAATGGATGAACCAAGTCAAGAAATGGGTAAACAGATTTCGAGAGAGGCAGACAGAAATAGCGAAGATATGATTGTGTCTCTTCTGCGCAATTAAGTTATGAGAAGAAGCTTTCTCAAAATACCTGTACGATGTTTTCCTTGAAACCGAAGGTTCACGAAATTTTCGATTTTAACGCCACGTGTATTTGGTCTTGTATGGCAACAGGTCCTTTTTCTCTCGAAAAGAAGTAGATGCACTCGTGTCCCTTGGTATTAAAGACATTCATCGATCATGAACTACCCTATATCACATTTAGAAAATTTGTCGGTTGTTAGTTGCTTATCTACAAACGCACGGGTCCACTTCCTTTTTAAATTGTCGAGTAAACTAATCATACACGTGATAGCATACGCTGTGCGAACGCACTCCGTGGCGCCACAATCATATGGTATACAAGTCACGTGATGAAACATACCCAGGTAAAAGGCGCCACGCGCTCCCGTTCCCTACGTGTACACAACGTATACCATTCACAGCACGTGCACGCTACGTACGGTTTGATCGCGTCTAAAGTGTCCCGATGGTGATCACAGTGTCATACTACCCGGGTTACTTTAATGAAAACTATGAGGCGTATTGGGACGGGATGAGAGGATTTTCACAATAAACGGCAGAGTCGCGTTACGCATCCTGACCAGATTGTGGTAATGAGGTGATTCTTCGGCGGAAATAAGAACGATAGATTTCCAAACCTGAGACAGTTTTGTCTGTAAGCTGCCATCTTAAAGAGGTGTAGGCGGTTATAACTTGTCTACGACTGTAATTAAAGTGATATAGCGGTTTGAGCAAGATGGTATCACATTATGAGAAAGAGAATTGGTCATCTTAAAGTAGGAATGTCTGATGACCTCTCTTTTCTTTGACCTCAGTAAATCAACATCCTCGTTTTTACCTACTCCTACAGCACTTACAATAACTACTGCTACTACCACTACTATACTATCATTACTACTACTACTAATACTACTGCTACTACTACTAGTACCAGGCGCGGATCCAGGATTTCTTAGGGGAGGGGGCCCAACTTTTTTTTTGCTCCCGAAAATTTGAAAAATCGCGCCGGCCGAAAAGTCGCTCAGTGGGGGGGGGGGGGGGGGGGGGCAACCCCTAAAAAAGGTACAAATCACGTGTTTTTACATGATATTTTTCTCAAGGCCGGCCCCCCTGGATCCGCCACTGACTAGTACTACTACTGCTACTACTACTACTACTACTACTACTACTACTACTACTACTACTATCTAATCGACTCGTATAAACTTTACTTCTGGTACTTGCACTATTAAAACTTCCGCGTTGGACCAGTCTGCTATTTTCAAAGCTTAGCATTCCAATTAAATCATTATGCTCATAAATGTAAACCAAGGTACGAATTAACGAAGATTGCACTTAAATATATATCAAAATGAATGCTCAAAGTCATTTTAAGCGCTAATGAAAGGAACAAATGAAAATCCTTCTAAAATATAGCTCTAGGTCATTCGAGTTCATTCTGAGCCATTACGCACTTATATTTATCCTTAAAAAATCAATCTGTATTCGATCCAATGACAAATGAAATGAATGAAAAACGAGGCAACTGATACGTGGATATCCTATCCTTGAGGAAAAACGCAAGCGCCAAATAATCATGACAATACCGTGGTATGTTTTCTCTTCGATATGATAGTTTTGAAACGTCCTTGATCTTCCAATTACTTTACTAATGAGATTCTTCCGTGCCCAGTCATTCAGAAAACACAGATTCAATCACGTATAGCGTAATCCAAATCATCACCCTCACCGATCTATATCTATTCTAGCCTTTTTCCGACACAGGACGTGATCATTCCGTGCTTTCCTTCAGCCTATCAATCAATTCAGAGTTACCATTGTACAATAATTATTGTTGGTTTCGCAAATTCGTTCCCTATGTCCTCACCGAGGTCATGCTTGTTGTTTCGTTCTGTCATTCTTTTGCTGTGGTCGTCGTCCGTATGAACTCCGCCATGAAGAATTAATGATAATCCGTTCAGCCATGTAGATGATGACCACGCAAGCACAACATCCCAGGAGTTTTCTATTTGTTTGCTTGGTGTGTATGGAATAGATCCTCTAAAGTTGAGATGACCTTTTTCAAATTCTTGTTCATCGTCATCTATCGTTATAAACTCACATTAATCCTGTGATTTTTATTTAGGTTTTCTTGAACGGTTCACATGATTATCATCTTTGTGTTTCCCTATTGTGTGCATTTAATGTTTTCATCAAGTTTGTTGTCATGTCTTTTTCTGTCTTCCCTATTCTGGGCTTAGATGTTCATATGCTTTATCTAGAATCTAGTTTAACAAACATGATGGTTAAGGTATTAAAGTGTCTGCTCATAGAAAATGTAATGTATTCTTTTTTATTAAACCGGTTCCATGTACATTATGATGATAATGACTTAGGAAGAAACAGAGTCATAATGTTCACTTGTTTACCAATCCCATTTAAAGACATTACAAAAGAGTCCGTTAAAACGATTGAAAAACTTCATCAAACCGCTTTAGTCGGGCCTTTGCAACCAAGTATATTATATTCGGAATTACCCTAAACCCCTGCTGTGCGACTTTGCCTGATTGGCGTAATACAAGACGATTGTCTCGTGAAGAAATCAAAGCTATTGCACAAGCATCATTACCAGCAAAATAACAAACAGGAACAAATAAATATAAAAAACAAATAGTTTGTCAATTTATTCCCGCAAGCCTTCCCTAAAAAGGTTAATAAGGACACTAAATTGATCGTAAAACAATGACCTGAAAAGCAAGGGGAAGGACGCCGCTCTCTGGCATACAGAAAAAAGCGGCGCGCATCAATCCTTGGAAGTGACAACTCCTATCCAAAGAAGCCGAAAAGCCATTTGCGCCAGGTAATTGAGGATAAATGAATTCTCCAGCCGGCAGTGTGTCTTCACGCATCCTTTGGGGGGGTATCATCTCTTGATTGTACAGCGAGAATTAGAGCTAATTTGTGTGACGCATCTAGGGAATTATCTCCCAATGCTTTGATTATTAAGAGGGGTTTCTGATTGTTTGTTTATTCCATGACACCACCTGACGGACCATCTTTGGAGGTCGTCGCGGACGCATTTTGTCAACATTTTCAAGGTAATGACCTCGAATCGATGTGATAGCTAATCATAGCTTATTGCTTCCGTTATGTTTATGAAATATGACACACCGAAGTCTTTAAACAATCGATATCATATCCGCCAGGTGAATTGAGCGAAGATGTAACCTTCAGATAAAACCAAGGGCTTTTTGGTACTTTATGAACGTGTCAAACTTTTTTCACAGAATGATGTGTTCTTTTTATTTTGTACTACAATGGCCAATATCAATCTGAAGGGCTTCTTTCCACAATTTAAAACGGCTTACTTCAATTTTTCGGGTCATTGCGTCGGGTCGGGTGTTCGCGTTACCCGACCTTTTTTGAAAACATGCTCCTTTATTTACTAAAAATTAATGTCGGGGGTAATGTTTGTGAAATAAACCCATCTCATCTACAAATAGTTTGGTCCAATTTACCCGACACTTTGTGAAACCCTATGGCCCGAATTTACAAAGGAGGTTCTGATTTTAACCCATGGTTTAACGCATTTGTGTGTATATTTTTCTTTTTCTTCAGTCATATGGCAAATGGTTGACTGAAGAAAAAAAAAATCACACAAGCTTTTAGTATGTAATTTGAGGATTTTTAAAGGGATTACGCGCTTCTTTGTGTAGATTATTTTTACGGAAGTGTGAAAAAAATTGTCCCACTGAAAATGAAAATGACCCAAGGATAATGCTTAAAATCTCAGGTCACAAATCGGATCGTATTCTCTGCTAACAATTTGAAACAAACTTTGACGATAGTCAATATATACAATCAGATGCCCAAATATGCCACATCTAAACAATGGAGCATAATTTCTCGTGTGCATGGAATTCGCTAACGACTATTTGTTTCTTGTTGTTTATCCTTTGTTTGGCTTATAATCCAGGCGGTTATATTTGGGGTTTTGGGGACGTCACTTGGGTAGCCTACTCACCTCACAGAAGACAGCCCTGGCAGCGTCCTCTTGAAAACTTCCGATAATGATACGGGCATCTTTCTCTTCTAATTGCTGTATCTGCGGCCCGGGGTCATCCACGAAACTTAATACAGCCGAGAAAGTGATGTTCGTATCGCTCTCAAAGTACTTGCTCATCTTGGTCTGGGCCTAAAGGAAAAGAGGAAGTGAAGACAGAAGGGGGAAGAAATAAATACTTCATGATGTATGAATGTGTCTTGAGGATTGGTGTCCGACGCACGATTGCACTTTTGTCAACAAAACACGATACGATTTGATTGCGACTCTTTCCTTTTTTTTTAGGGGGGGGGGGGTGGAGGTAACAACATCTCAAAAATAAATTGAAGAATTACAGCCATTGAAACCATTCGATTAAAGGTAGCCGAAAAACCCCATGCAAACAAGCAGCAAAAAAGCAACAAAAAACATCGAAAGAACTATCCACAAATATTCGTAATATCGCCTCCAAAAAGAGGTAATCCATGACTGTCCATGAGTGTGTGAAGCAACAAAGAGTCGTCGTAAATTTGATATGCGAGGTACAGAGAATATACATGATTTTAAAGGTAGAGATAGATAGACGAGAGAGAGAGAGAGAGAGAGAGCGTGTGTGTGTGTGTGTGTGTGTGTGTGAGAGAGAGACAGAGAAAGAGAGAGAGAGATAAAGAGAGAGGGAGGGAAAGAGAGAAAGAAGAAAAACAGTGAGAGATAATAACATTATCTTGGGGAACGAAAGTGACAGAATGGGACAGCATGACGATTAACATAAATAGAGAGCGGAAAAGGGTTGGTAGAGGATGTGGGGGACGGAATGAGAAAGAATAGTGTAGGGGTGAATTCGTGGTTAGATTAAAGGAGAAAATCCGACAGGTGACAGATAGAAATCGATTTTGCTAGCCACTGTGTTTGTTGATCACATTATATCACGTGATCGAATGTGACGTACCGGTCTGTAAGACAAATTAGATCCCCTAACAGACAACATGGACACTAGCACGCAATTATTATTATTGAGAGAGAAACATTCAGATAACGTAATGTACCTCTGGAAATGTTAGGTTTTCATCTAGATCTGTATGCCATCAACAATACTAAAGTGCTTTAGGGGCGTCATGTCTAACAGTATTAGAGAAACAAAAACATTTTCCTTTTTGTTTGGTATTTTTTTTTGGTTGCAGAAGTTTATTTCTATTATCATGATTATATTATGGATTTCACTTCGTAGTGTGCTGTTTTTCTGCTTTGAAAGTGTGATTATAAATGGAAATGCATGATGATGAATTAATAAAATAAATTCAGGCTCTCAACGGAGGCTCTCAATATGATGGTGATGATGATTTCTTTTGCTGATTAAAAGGAAACAAATCATTGTGGATCTTTATGACGGCATTGAATACACAATGTCTATTAGTGTTTCATTAGTGTTTAGTAGGAATGGAATATCTGTACGTAAAGGTACCAAAATACATTAAACGACAAATCCCATTAATGAAAAAAGAATGACCATTACGAAGCAATTTAGATAAGGACGTCGAATCAAATACCGGTACACATAATTCGTCGCTGTTCTCACGAAGTGACGGTAGTGAAAAAAAATTGCATTCACTTTGCGTTACGATTTTCCTCACTACCGTCACTTCGTGAAAACAAGGACGAATTGTTCGTGACGTAAGCTCACATATCCTTAATAACGCAATCGTATAAATATCTAATTGATTTTCATTCTTTGTGTCCTTGCAAGATAATATCGCAGCAAAATTGTCTCGCTTATATATCCCTATCACGAGGCCAATTTTTTCTTTCATTTGCTCGATAATAAAGGCGATAATGTTTAAAGTTAAACAGGATTGGATAGGAAGTGACAGGTGCAATGTATCTTTCATTACAAGCCCGTCGTTTTTCGTTAAAGAACCTGTCGGAATTAAACAATGACATAGATTAATTATATATTAACGGATGATTTATAACCCATTTTACAATAATATAAATAAATATGTTATTTAAATGTCAGTCAGAGGAGTGATACATTGTAGCTCTCTAAAAAAATACTTTAAATCTAAAGCTAAAGATTTTGGACCTAAAATCTATCTATCGACTTGATGACATTATCTTATGAGTACACATATTCATTATGACTTTACATTAATTAAGCGAGGCTCATCACCTCAGCTATACAGCTTTCAGGTCTACATGTTAAGTCATCACCGTAACTGCAGCATCTTTGACCCCTGTTGACCAGCGATTTATAGAGGGGTGCGGCAAATTAGGTTTTAATTTACTTTTGTGCAATAACGAAAGGGAATTTTGCTCTATAATTGTATTCTGCATTCAGTCAGCTTTCCATTGATACAAAGTTGTATTTTCATCGGATAGGGTATTTAATAATGCATTGTAGGGCTTATTCTCATCATATTCAGAATCTTCCTGCATGCGCTACATTACTTTGTAGCTTATACACATTCATGTCTCGATTTCGATAACGAATGCTTGGGAAATGATGTTTTGAGAAACACAAGACTAAATTTGGTAATGCAGTATTTCTGCGCTTAGGATAATGTAGAGGAAATCGTTGCTGACACCGTTTTAATCATCATAGAAAACAATATTTCACCTAAAATCATTAAGAATTAATTGCACCACATTATGTATGTTACACGTATTATGTGATAGAAGTAAAAGCTTATATTAAGTATATGGGAAAGTATACATTAATTAGACGTGAAGGATATCTGAAGTAGATGTGAAATTATACCTGTGTAGAGGCGTCGTGGACGAGTAGATACGTCGCAGGACTGTCAATCACAAGGTCCACGGTTCGAGTACCGCCGCCGCACTAATGTCCTTTGGCAAGACATTGATCTACATTTGCCACACTCCACCCAGGTGAAGTAAATGGTTACCTGGTAGGAATGTATTCCTTGAAATGCTAGAGCGCCCTATGGCAGCCGTGCTAAAGCCAGGGTAATAATCGGGAGCGCCAGGAGGGTTATTATTATTATTATTATTATTATTATTATTAATATCATTATTATTATTATTATTAAGTAAATTTGAAAGCGTATATGAAGTTGATGTGAAAGCATATCTTCAATAAACTTGAACTATTACGCTTTGAGATAAAGACAAGATTTTTCCCCGAGAGCTACATGTATCAATGACAGTTGTTTCGGAGATATATTTTGGGGGTATTTAGTGAAAAATTGATATTTAGAAGTGATTTTAATTGGAAGGCCATTTTCACCCGATTGTTTCCCCCTATTCCTATACAAAGTGAAAGTGATGATGACGTTTGTATTTTAGTATGACTAAGGGTGCGTTTAATCTCAATTTTGAAGGCGGAATGAGCGAATTGAAACGCTCCATGGTGTACTGTTTATGCTCCTTTCTCTGGCTCCTCCGGGCATGATTCTGGCTCAGAGCCAGAATCATGCGTAGAGGAGCCAGAGCAGTGCAATGCAGAGTCTGCAGTAGCCGTCAGTGCGTTGACCCCATTTACAAATGATTGTGCGTTTATGCTTCCCCCAAATCGGCGATTTTGCAAAACCGCCGATCGTAAACGCACCTTTTTGTGAGTTTACGATCGGCGATTACGATCGCCGTTTTTCGGTGATTCTACAAAAATGAGAAAGGACGCAACCGTGTTTTGAACTAAACGCGTAACAGATGCCTCATTCTGGCCAGAGAAAGTTGAGCATAAACGTACCCTAAAATGAATAGAACGAAGTGATAGTTTAAGTGATGATGCAAGATCCTGTTTTATGATAGTGAAGAGTGCAGGCAGTGAAGAAGGGATCACACAATTTACGACATTTACCTTGTTCCGTTTCTCACATTAAGGTCTTTCAACTTTCAAATTGCTCTTGTATAGCATTTTACAATAGTAATACATGGTTTAACCAAAGGGAAATACATTTTCATTGTTCTAGTGATGACATTACCGGGTGCCTTTAAGCTTGGAGTAGTACAGATACACTTTAAAAGGGAATTTCAAGTACCGTCTCAATCCTTCGGCATTTAATTCTTCAGCTGTCACTCTCACTTGGCGTACCATTACAAAATTCTCATTCATGTAGTCTCCCGAAATAACTCTCTAATAGCCCTGTATCTTGATTAGTATTCTAGTATCCTCCCTTTTATACCCATCTCCTCCTCGCACGCAATGTGTCAAAAACTAGTTCTCGTCAGCAAATGTGCTCTATTTTGCTGGATTTGCATAACAGGGCTTCCACAACCCCACTCTCATTTCTAATTCTCTACTCGTGGAAGTGCAGACTGTGGGAAGAGGATGAGGAATGCCGATGGTGGAACATGGAAAATGATTCTTAAATCTTCAATTTAAGGAAGGCATTATCGCCATGTTTACCAAAAGGCTTTTAGGAAAATGAACTCGCTGATTAGTGCTTGTCAGTTCCACTTTCCCTGGGAGAGAGAGATGAACGGGGGACGGGTCACTGAACTAATGCAGGAGACCAACGTATCCATGACACGAAGGCGTACATACCATGCATAACAATCCATACAAAATGTAAGACTATATCGGGTGTGTCCATACACGGGTTCTTTTCTGACTCGTTGAAATAGATTATAAGGACAGCAAAATCTCCAATGTTCATTAGAATAATTAGTAAGGAAGAAATATGGGCCGCGTGTGATCATCTTTCCTCTTTCTAATCAAGATTCGATATTTTCAGCCAACAAACACACGCTTGCGAAAACAAAGTTAAAAAACTAGGTTGTATCACCAGGCACATTTACACATAACAAAACCATTTTGAAAAATCGTCGATTTTTTTTGGACTACAATTTACACCACTGGAAAAATCCATTAAAAAAAAACCGTCAAAGTTTGCTCTACTCATTTTTGATGAGTAGTGCTCTGAATGGGACAGCATGGAAGCCATATTGCTCCGGTTGTCTCATTTTCGCCAGCACAAACGTAGCTTGTTCGCGTATATAGCAGACGGCAATCGGCGGATCAGACGACACTTGGTAGTGATTTTGTATGTGAGATTGCTTTTGCTAAATATAAAATACAAGAAACTTTTCCATATCTTTAAACTATCATTGATATCTGATAATTAAACAGTTAGTAAAATAAACCTACCAAACTACATAATACAATGAAATACTTGACTGAAAATAGGGGAGTTTGATGTGGTGCACAATTGCACCCCTCTGTTAATAATCGAATAGTCCATGGTGTTCCTGAATATTCATGTTTTTGCTTAACTCGGAAAAATGCTTGCCTACACTAAATGGAAAAAATTACGGTGGGGGGGGGGGTGGATGAAATGGACATAATGAACAAATCAGAACTGATCTATGATAATTCAGGCTTCTTATCATTCATGTGCTTGACTTATAACCTTACAATCGCGTGGTAAATTGAGAGTCCAAAGTTCGACTTGTTGTACATGTGTTACATAGGCAATGTCGAGCCTGCGACCTATTTTGATCAAATTCCGGCGGGTGAACTTTCAAAAGTCAACGGGACATGAGGGTTCCAATGGAAGAGCTAGTGATAACGTACGTCGTGGTGGATGTGCTTTTCGTTTAAACAAAAAGAATTTTTTAACGATTTGGGGGGGTAAAAGTCCATAGGCTAACGTACATGTTAGGCTGCTGGACTCTGCCGATAGGGGGCGTTGTCAAATGAGACTAAACGGAGATATATGGAAGTAAAAATCAGTATCTTATCAAAGATTGCATTTACACACACATAAAAATTATTGAAACTTCTGTATGCGTTTAAAAAGACCACACTCCAGAGGTTGATTTTTTCCGATTTTGATTTCTCGTCGTGTTTGTCGGTAAATGCTATGCTTGAGGTTGCTATGCAGCTACCGGCAAAAAACCTTAATGCAGCTTCCGTGTAAAATTCAGTTGTCTGAAGCACACACACTTCTGGTGGGACAGAAATGTCGTTTTGCCCGTAACCTTGAAAACTTATAACTTCCCTCTATACAAAATAAAAATATATTGTTTTGATAGACAGGTACTCGTATCATCTGAAAATGATAAACACCTGCTAAATAACAAAATATTGATGAATATATATTTGTATGCAATGACGTTCACGGAACAACTAAACAATTGATTCGTAGTCAACTCACCAGCGAGAACAGTTCTTCTTCCTGACTGAGACTGGCAACCATGTTCCATTTAAAGTACTCAATAAAGGAAGCTCGTGCTGCATTGTGGGAGGAATCGGGGGTCACTGTCCGGAAGAAGGTCGGATAATACTCCTGATCGGTGAGGGCCACTGATGTAGACCCGTACGAGACCTGATAACATAGAAGATATATTAACATATACTTAGTAATAATAATAATAATATTCCGCTTTTAAATAGCGCTTAATACATCTACGATGTCTCTAAGCGCTTAACATATCTACTATTACCCCGGCCATTGGATTCAATACTTGCCCGCACATACTGTGTGCACAATCTCCACTCCCTGGGGAGCATTCTAGCCAGGCGTTACTTGGCGCTTAAAAACTGTTTGACCAACAATGACGGTCGCATCCCACCGGGTACCCATTTATCACGTGGGTGGAGAGTAGCAAGTACAGGTTGATATCTTGCCAAATGATATGATATAAGTGCCATGTCGGGATTCGTACCCTCGACCTTCGCATGAGTCGAGCCAAGCGCCTTAAAGGTAAAGACCAGTATTGGAAACGCCCCAATTTCAAAAAATGAAATGGAAGCTCTCATTACCAATCATGTGAAAGAATATGTTTTGACTAATACATGATGATAAAAAATTTGCCGGGAAACCGCCTACTAATTCATATATTTGGTAAATTTGTTTCTCTCATGGTCTGTGAGAGATATAGGGTAGTCCCATATACATCTCTCTGTGTATAGTGCTTGTAACTTTACGAAGAATGGGCCAAATTTCTTATCATTTTGATGATTCCAGAACCTTGCAGATGCTAGATGCTAGATGATCAACCTTTTCTGATCGATTCCACAACGTTTCTTTCACAATGCAATCGCATGACCATAACTGGTCTTTACCTTTAATTAAACCACTCGGCCACGACACTCTTTTATAAATTAGGTGTAGGAAATAACAGTTTCCACTTATACATTTAAAAAGGCTGACTAAGGTTGACTGAGCACTGTCTTCTTTTGTTAAGCATGCTAACATCGCGACTGTCCAACTTTGTGTCTAACCGTAACACCTATATAACAAGTTGGCATAACTTTTTTTCAAACATGTTCTGAAATAGATCCACCTTTTCCCCAAGACCCTATTAATAGATTAATTCATAAGCACAATTATTCCAGTTCTTCCCCACTGCTCAGAGTCAGAGGCATAATCTAGAAAGGTTTGGACGAGCCCTTACCTACCATGACCACGTTCCAATAGGGCAGGATCTGGCCCACTCTCTTCGACACGTCCGAACAGGAGCATCCCAACAGCATGGACATGGTGGGTTTACGGTACAGCTGATCGTAGAGGGCGTCTACTCCGACTCCAGTATCGCACTACAAGTAAAAATATTTTTTTTAAAGAAAATGAATTAATCTCATAAAACATGAAATCAACTTCAGCTAACAATAATGCTTTGTATTTTTTAACTGGTCAGTGTATTTTCAGTTGACTTAAAGAGAAGGTTGAGTTCTGGGAAGAGGTGAAAAATAATTTTGTGAGCGTTATCATTCTTATTATGCAAGTGTGGAAGAACATCAGATAAGACATGTTCCCTGAAAAGCATGGCTCTTCAAATGCCTTCATATTCTAAATATGTAATGTAACATCGTAAAACTCCGGGGTAGGATTTTTACGCCACGTGTTCGTGTAGTCCCATATACATCCTTCTGTATTAGTAACTACCAAGACTTGGCCAAATTTATAATTTTGATGATCCCAGAACCTTGCAATACACACACATTCTTATATGCTAGATGATCAACCTTTTCTGGTCAATTCCACACCGTTACTTTCACAATGCAATCGGATGACCAGAACTCAACTTCATCTTTAATTGAATAAATCGGCAATTTTGTTGTACAAAATTTGAGGGCTGAACCATCAATTGGAAATACCAGTGTCATTCCAGGCCAACGTTTGAAGATTTAGTGTTAGGTTTTGTTTTATGCATACAGATTCGAGCACCCAGAATTGAAATGCAACGTTATGATAAATATCACGATTAAAAACTACTGGAATGTAAAGTTGGACGTGACGTGGGGTAAGTGTCTTGAAGAGGTAGATCATGTTAAATTGGAAAATGGATTTCCTGAATTCACGAAGAGGTAATACGTGTCCATGCAAAATGTCTCTCGATATACACGTACATGTCATGACATATATCTTGCTGGGTTCACTCTTTGTGGCAAACATATCTTTAAATCCAACCCAGCATGTAATGGAATTCATTTCTTTTGCACACTCACTCAACCCACAACAAATTCTCACACTCTTTTCCTTCATACACATTTTCACACAAGCAGACACAACCCGCCATTTTTCATTACTACCCTTTTAGTGCTGAGTGGTGCACAACCCCGTTGCACCACCACACGATTGGCAGAATACACTGATTTTCCCTCAAACAGTATGCGTAGAAGGGTTTGGACACCATTCAGCTCCAATAACGTCACTGTGTGAACATCCTTCCCCTTTTCTTTTCCGTTGGTGAATTTTGTGCGAAGGCCATCCCGCGAGGCTTTGCCAGCTGCCGTAAATTTGTCGGTAAATTCCCGCCGGGCAGAAGTTTTTACATGGCCAGAAAATTTTAGTCTGTCGCTGCAGACTGTTCAAGAGAGAATACAAGGCCTTTGGAAACGACAAGCTGGTACAATGACTATACTCCTACCATGCCTAATGCCTGCCTGTCTTCAAGATTAAACCAGGAAGCTGTAAGCTTCCCGATTATACATAAAACAAAATCAGCGCGTTATAGAATGATGTGCTTCGAACACCTTTCTCATGTCTTCATGATCATGCTTAGTCGCAAATTTAATCCGCGTACCAGAGAACTCAGTGGTCTTAAGTTGCGGTCTTGTGGAAATATTTAATACTTCGCTGTCACATGACATATTTCATTTTTTCCACAATTAAGCCTCGGATAATTTGTTCCAAGACTAAGGAAATTTAAAGCACGATATAAATAGTAAATAGATATCAATGATTATTGATCCGTTAAAATAAATGTTCAAAGGTGTCGCCATTTCGCAAGCGCGTAGCCAGGATTTCATTTTAGGGGGGCGGTAGTGAGCACGCGAAGCGTGCGAATCACTTAAAGAGCGCGCGAAGCGCGCTCCCTAGGGGGGTGGGTGCAGGGAGGGGGGAATTTCCCCCCTCCCGCGCGAAGCGCGGAAGCTTTGAAAGAAGACGATTCGTTGTACCTTTCTCGACTCATAATCCTTGTCTGAATTCAGTCCCTCCCCTCTCTCGCGCGAAGCTTTGACGCTTTTTATTAAATTATTAGAGAAAGAAGACGAGTCGTTGACTCTTAATCCTTATCTCGACTCTCTCTCGACTCTTAATCCTTATCTGTATTTAGTCCCTCCCCTCTCTCACGCGAAGCTTTGACGTTTCATTAAATTATTAGAGAAAGAAGACGATTCGTTGTACCTTTCTCGGCTCCTAATATATCCTTGTCTGAATTCTGTCCCCCCCCCCCCCCTCTCGCGCGAAGCTTTGACGTTTCATTAAATTATTAGAGAAAGAAGACGATTCGTTGTACCTTTCCCGACTCATATTTCTTAATTTGAACTCAGTTTCCCCCTTCCCGCGCGATGCGCGGAAGCTTTGACGATTCATTGTACCGTTCTCGACTCCTTTTCCCTCTTTCTTCCTACGTCCTCTTTCTTTTTTTTCTTCTCTTTCTCTCTCTTTTTTTTTTTTGGCCGGCGTTTTGGGGGGGGGGGGGGCGACCGCCCCCACCGCCCCCCCTGGCTACGCGCCTGCCATTTCGTATGAACATTTCATACTTAAACTATTACGTAACATAAGATCAGAAGATCGTTGGTTCAAACCATCCCACCATTACTGTACGTGACATTTGTCCTGTTTAACTGCATTTGCCACTCTGTACATAGGGTAGAAAATTATGATTATATTCGAACTTTACCTGATAACTATGGCAACATAAAATACGTTTACAGAAAAACTCAAGCCGCTACTGCCTGCATACACAGCACAGTACAAGGGAGACAATAATACAAATATTTGTCCTTTTTAATACAAAAGACAGGGTGAAAATACTGGAGAAATGCAACAAACATGTTATTTGGAGTTGCTAGGTAAGTTTAGGCACTTGGTTCATTTGTTCGAATAGTTGCATTTTAATATAGTTTGAGTAGCATATACAGAAATATTATAGTTCGAGTTCGATCAATAAACATACATAAATGAGGACTTCCGTCAGGGACCAAACAAGTGAATAAAGACAAGAAATCTGACATTGGAATAATCAGTGCTACCTTATCGAAATTCAAGAAAGATTGTATAAATTATATATTTTTTCGTAGCTACAGAACAAATAAGGAGGAAAACAACATCAATGATATACGCCCGTTTTCATTGACGTGTCTGAAATCACTACTACGTACCGAACAATATCATAGTTGTGAACAAAAAATGAATTTGAAAAAACCCTCTAAATCCTTTTTCATGATCCGATGGGTTACACACGATTACTTGTAAATTTAGGTCCTTGCATATTCTCTTGGGAATCTTAGTAGCTCCTTAATTTCACGCACTCCTTTTACTTGCAGCCGTTAAAGCAGAGCACTGCGTGTGCCGATTTGTATTGGGCTCGCGGGCAACGGGGCGGCGTTGACAATTTAATTGACCTCAATTTCATTCTTTCTGATCGTAACATGGGATTTCTTGATTAGGAGCTAGGATCAGTGGCGCAACATGGGAATACGATGAACGTAATTCTTAAAGGATAGGGAAGAAAGACAGTGGTCGATATATGTCAGTGAAATCGACCTACATACAGTTACAGTGCCATTGTCAATAATCAGTTGTATCAAGGTGTGATACACGCATTTCACTCACGTCTTATCATAAGAAGATAAACCTTACAGAAAATAAGCTTGTCAGATATCTACTTTGAAATTCTGCACTCTTCTGCCGAAGATAGGCAACATTAACGTTCATACTATCAACTCATTATGTCAAACATCTCATTGACACATGATGTATATGATGCCCGTGGATAGGTTACATGCTGACCAACGTTCTCTCTGGAAATAAAACCTCCATTACAATACGTGTGTTTAAAGGTGAGACATCCATTGATTACACGATAGTAATGTGAGAGGACGAACCTGTTGATCAATGGTCATTCATACCAGGGAGAGTGTATCCCTGTTCCTACCATTTCTCAGAATAGCTTACGTCTTGATCCAATATGACCCCGGATTTTCGCCCTCATTTCCATGCCCCCTGATCCTCGAAGGTTCCAAGTCGTGCCTTTTATCTCCGTTGGGAGCAGCGAAATCAAGTCCCCCATTTATGGATCGCGACGCCATTTTGCTCTCCTTTTCTCTCGAGTTACAACTTTAAAAGCCACGTTTCCACTATAACTACAGAACTGTTATCGGTGTTTAGTGATACTTGCTCTCTTCCTAATACGATATAAAGCACATACTCTAAAAGCTATAGCCTGTCTCCCGTGCGGATGTTCCTGAGACAATAAATGAAAGAAATTAAGTTCTCCTGAGCCTACTAACAGTATACTGCGTCCAGGAAAAAAATTATGTTTATCATATAAGAGAAATGTATTTGGAATATAACGAGTTTCCATTTTAGAGAACGGAAAACCTGCCCTATAACTGAAAACAGGTTAGTGTTAATAAAGTGGTAACATCGTTTTTCAATCGTGTTAACATCGGGGAATGTTGATGAGTTGCATTTTCCAAAATTGATCCACACGTTTTCCAGACGGGATCGATGTAAACAAAATGACGTGGGTATGTGAACGACGACGAGACGAGGTTGCAATAACTGAGCAGTGGGAACGGGATGGTCTAATGGATTAGATCACTTAGTTGTCAATAAGGACGTGGATATGCGCCATCATCCCTTCCCTATACTCATAGCTGTCAATATCCCTGAATGGAGACCACCACTCCTGACAGGATTTACTCCCATCACATTACTGGCATATTTGCTAATTTTCGGAGGCGGCGTGGAGGAAAGAGATGATGGATGAAAAGACCGCTTAAAACTCGATTTGGGCGAGTCATTTGGCAATTTGGTCAACCATTAATGGATGCATGTTGTCATGATGTATAGTAGTGTCCTACCAAATGCCACTTAATTAACGTTGATGCCAAATAGCTACGACGCTTTGACAAGCTAGTTTAACTGATATATTGGTATACGTGATGTGTTGGAACCTGAGACGCCAACTTAATTGCAAAAGATTGTGATTGATCAATGAAAGCTATGAAACAAATCCACAGTCCTTTTGGTGCCACACGGTTATTGACACTGCACGTAGAATTAAACGACGACCAGCCTT